TATATATATATATATATATATATAATAGATCAGCTCAGATCAAAACAAAAACTCAAATATTTCACCTACAACCTCAACCATGGTATTTACATAGTGATTCATCTCTGTTCTATCAGTTCTCCTTACAGGAGGTGTTATGGGCTCCTGGGAACTGCATAACATCAATCTGGATATGACACAGAAGGCCCGTGTGGTTTTTGAGGGTGTGAGGGGAAAGAAAAGTTCAAATGGAGGTTTCTCGCTGGATGACATTAACCTGTCATCCACAAAGTGTCCTCAACACACCTGGCACGTCCGCAACATCAGCCGCCTGCTTGCCACCACGTCAGCAGAAAAACCACTGTACAGCCCTCGCTTTCTGTCACCAGCAGGTTACTCCTTTCAGGTAAATGCCTTTTAAATATCTGATTCTCTCGATGCTGAAGAAATCCAAAGCTCGACTCACTTGTTGTTGTTCTAGTTGCTAAGCTATCATTGCACAACAGCTGTTCTGTCGAGGTGTTAAGTTTATGGTCAGTGAACTAACATTACCGTAACATGCTTGCACAGTACTTTAATGTTACTTAATCTCTACAGATATCGACATATGTATGCAGAATGTGCAGGCAGCGGGACAAGACTTTAGTATTTGTAGTCCTTGTTTGTAGTCCAAATAGTATTGATCATGTTTTAGGGGGTTTTGGTTGCAGGGGCGCTCATTCAGTCATCTGCAGGGAGCCACTAAGTCGCCTGCAGGGCATGTTCAAAAAAATAACTGTGGTCAAACCAGCCATCGCTCGCATCTCCGTGGTCAAATCAGTTAATGCTACAACTGTGGTTCACCCATACACTCCCCGTTAAAAGGGTTTTTTTTGGGGGAGTTTCTCCTTATCTGCTGCGAGGGTCCAAAGGACAGAGGAATGTCGTATGCTGTAAAGCCCTCTGGGGCAAATTGTGATTTGTGATATTGGGCTTTATAAATAAAATTGAATTGAAAAATTTAATATATTGACACACATGATAAATGCACTCAAGTAGCCCAGATCAAGCTGACAGGGAGAGCTAACAATTGACGTGGCTAACAATTTTTGTGTTTTTTTTAAAAAGTTGTTAACACAGGGTATATAATGCCAGGGTTGGCCCTCACTAGACAGGTCCACTGGGAAAATTCTAAAACCTCCCAAAAGCCAGTCCATGCATGTTCGGTTATATGCAGTCCTGTAAACCATCAGCTATTGTCCCACAACAATTTAGCTTTGTTATCTTTTCTTTTATTTATCCACATTCATATGCAGATATCTGTTTCTACAAATTAGTGGAAATGTCCATCCATCTCCAATCTTGAGTCTCATGTTACTTATCGAGCTATAAGCAATGACCAGTGCACAAAAGAGAAAGTCTTGGTCTGGATATCATTTATGTGGATATCCAAGGGCTAAAACAGATCCCCTGAAATACTGGCTTGTCCCCAAAGGCTACATTTGTCGTCAGAACAATAGCTGACGGGATTGCTTCATACTGCTTTGTGATCCACAGGTCAGTGTGTACATGTACAGGAAAAGCGACCGTTCAGAGTACTTGGCCACCTACTTCCACCTGACCTCAGGCCCCAACGATCACAAACTCAAGTGGCCATGTCCATGGCGACAGGCAACCATCGCCCTGATGGATCAGCAGTCTGACATCAGACAGCAAATGAACATGCACCGCATGTTCACCACTGACCCCAACAAGAAGTCCTCTAATGGTAAGAGAAGGGGGGATAACTTGTAGTGTAACAAGTCTGACTCGCCTCTTATTGTTGCTTTGTTGGTCAAAAAGAGAATCACAGCTCACCTCTTTCTCCACAGGCACTAAGTACTTCTGGGATAATCCCAAGAAAGTGGGGTCTCGAGTAAATGAGTCTAATGGCAGCTTTTACTATCGAGGCCCAGGCTTGCCAACATTACAGTTCATCAGCCACAGCAGCCTAAAGAGCAGAAACTTCATCAAAGGAGACGATGCCTTCTTCCTCCTCAGTCTGGAAGGTGTGGAGTCAGACAGGACCAAGACATCACATACAACCATACTGTATATCATCCTGTCTCTGAAATGTCACCGTTGTTGTCTGCTTGTCCTCAGATATCTCTCATCTCCTGGTATCTCAGCCTCTTCCCCGCTCTGCAGTCCAAGCTGACACCGATTTAATGATAGCTGCAGACCAAGGTGCTCCGCAGGGAGCAGGGATGGGCAGGAATAATAGACAGCAGGAGATCGAAAAGGTGCCGATCATACAGGACATGTCCTGATTCACAGAAGTGAGTGTAAAACATTAGGGTCAGCACTAGTTCACATCATAGGAATGACTCACCGTGTTGATGCATCTAAATCAAACTGTCATGTTCTTTGTTTGTGTTCTGTCCCAAATGTGTCTTTCATTACAGTGGCAGACGTCCCACGATTTACCATCTCCTCTCACCACTCCATGATGTCCCGATCAGAGAAAGCAATCAGCACTAACAAGGCAAGAGATCACATTACTACATGATCTCTACAACCATGGGCACCAAATTATAGTTAAAAGTGGAGGAGCGGAGGGTCTGGGGCTCCTCTCTATATCTATTATTTTACCAAGCCACTTTGCATGAAACCACGCCTACTTCCGCATGACGAAAGTGAGGTGAAACCACGCCCACTTCCGCATGACGAAAGTAAGGACCTAGATATCAAGGCCTGATGACTGGCTGCCAGCCTACTGCTAGCCAGCCCTCTGTGCGATATACCTGCGGCCCCTCTGAATTATTTCCCCCCAGAATGTTTGTTGATCCAGCGGGGAGTTGGGGGGCGGTCCAATCACTGAAGGTCCATGAAATTCATAGTGTGGAAAATACAGTAGGTTGGAAAATAGCAACATGGGTAGTTAAAGAGAAGCTTTGCTGATTTTCAACCAGCTCTGTGTCATCGCAGTGTGTGCAAGCAAAAGTTCGGTGGACCTCCGCCAGCAAACGAGCTTCCAGCGCTTATAGCACAATGGAGAGCCAAACACTTGGAGTTCCCTGCTGCACATACTTCCTACACTGTGATCACCAAGCTGGTTGGAAATCAGCAAACTTTCCCTTTAACAGATGTAACAACTTAAATTCAGCCAGTGTAAAATATGGACTGTACAATAAAGATGAACATGACAGCGCCCCAAAGGTGGTATTCAAAGCCACTGATGAACTCAAGCTGTGCTGTTGTTTAAATGACCCCCAGCATGCCACAGTGAGTGTTACTTGCAGCCAATAATCGGGCCTTGACGTCTGGCAGCCTGCTTTCGTCATGCAGAAGTTTCATTTAGAGTGAGTTGTTACAATAACAGACACATCCTTGGCCAGAAAATTTTCTGCATTCCAGTGAATTTTTACACTCCAAATTATGGTGCAAATGTGTTAATTTCCTTAAAGAAAAACACAAAATTCAGGTGAGAGGTGACAATTCAAAATTTCAAAACATCATGTAGTGTAATGCAGTGGGGCTCTCACACATTCTGATTTGCTTGCAAATATTTACTCTCTTGCAGATTAGCTTCTCATTTAATGTTATCTCTGCTGAGTCACACACGTAGGCATGATTTACTTAGTCCTCCTTTGTGTCTTTTGATTGTAGAAGTATCCTCTTAAAATGTGAATGTGGCACCTATTCACATTAATGATACATTTCATTAGAAACACCTGGATTTTAATAGCTCATCTGAGTTTCAGCAAGACTTCTGCTCATGTTAACTTCAAACTGCAGACTGTCACCAAAGAGGCCACTGTTTGTTTCACATGTGAATTTTAAGACAACCCATCATGTTTTTTTCTTAATCTAACCATGTGTGTTTGTTGCCTAAGACGAAAGAAATCAAACTAAGGACTAAGTATTTTACCTATGTTGTAAGTACTTTTTTTTCAAAGTATGCATTTAGAGAGCAGAAACTGCATTTCCTGTAAAAACAGAGGTGTATCTTGTGAAAGAAACAATCGACATGCTGTACGTGAACATCTAAAACAGACGCAGGAGGGTACCTAGCACAACACACCTGCTCTGTGGGCCCAGTGATACAGAAGCTCCAGGTTATTTTACGCATGGAAGTCGAACATCTTTGGCTTCATTTATAACATTAAAAGGAATGAATGGGGCTCCACCACCAATACTGTATCCAGGTCTCTATACATCCATGGTGAGAATACGTCTGTCACAGAAAATCTCCTGTCATGTGTCACATGTGTGAAGGGTCACATCCAGATCTGAATCTTTAAACATAGTCTGAGTTCATATGAGAAAACAGCTTTGGTTAGGATGGGAAATGTAGTTTTTAATTCATACTGCATCCACTTATCCAAACTAGCTTGAATGTTTAAAGAAAGCAAAGATTCTTGATCAAAAAGTAGGGATGCAAAAACACACCTCTGCTCCCCCAAGTGTAATAGTGGGGGTGCAGCTGCTCAGCTTGCTCCATTGCTCAGGCGACTCTACAGCAATTCCTTTTCATGTATAATTTGAATTTGAAATAAAAATCTTTATGAGCATGCATTTTCAAACCATGTGTTTATTTCATCATTTCCAGATTTGCAACTCAACATTGATTAAAATACTGTGGTTATTTTCTAGGGTCTGTGGAAGCAAAAGTCAAGGTCTGGAGCTGGGCCAGAAAGCTCGCGACCTCGCTCCTTTCTTCTCGAACAGACTTTCTTTGTCTTCCATTAGATATCAAAAACTCAAATACTCAGAGGTCAAAAAAATCACTGGAGACACGTAGAATCAGATGCAACTGAGTTTAATGTGCTAGCAGGCAACAAACACATCACAACTCAATGAGTCAAGCTCCGGAGCAGGACTGGAATTTCTTTGTTCGCACTTGCTTTTTTATTGTGAAAATTTCTGCTGAGTCGTCTTTTTTCCCTTAACCCTTCCCGCTATGCGCTGATCATAACGGGGTCACATTTCTGCTGAGTTTACACTTTTTTTAGTCCTTCCCCCTTGGAGCTGAAACATTACGGTGTCACATTTCTCCGTTCTCCCCCTGATGGCTACTTTTTTACTTGCACTCGTTCATAATATTATCCACGCTCTCCTTTTCTCCCTTAGAGCCAATTTCACCATGTGATGCTTTCCTGGACAGCCCGCCTCCTCTAGAGTCATATCAGGACAAGCTGCAATTCCCCTAACTTTCCACCAGTGTTTTCTGAGCCCATCCTCATGCTATTTTTAGCCTAGGTACTTCTCCACCACAATGCTTAAGTGCTCAATGAGTGTATGTGTGTCATAAGAATACATGAAATATTAAACCAGTGTGTAATTTGTCAGTTGCACAGAGTACATTGCTTCAACACGTATCTTTAAAGGTCAACTTAAAGGTACAGTATAAACACTACAGTAAATATTACACTACAGGTCCTCAACCATGTCATTGTAAGCTTAGAGGGGACTTACTTATAACTGACCCTTAGCTAAGCCCTATCTCTTTGTGATGGGCAAAGTCAGAACTTTCTTTAGGGTGATGGGGTTGCACCAGGGGGGATTAGGACTTGATACTCTTATCAATCCTGGCTACGCCCCAGGCATTCAGTTGGTTTTGGTTGGGAGTGCATATGTAGCAGGACTGATTCCCCAGATTTCAGGTGATCAGGAAGAAGCCTGAGAACCAGTTCCCTGCCACATAATACAAAAACTATTTAGATGGAGAAACAAATCTCACAAATGCCTTCACAGTGACAAAATGCCTCATTAATGATAAAATAAACCAATGAACAAACTGTTGGGGATATGTTCAGCAAGTAAACTCTTGCATGAATAGCACCAAGATCTGCCCTGATGCAGACAGACTAGTGGAAAGGTGGTCTTTAATATTTCCTCCACAGAGTAAACTGAGAAACCAAGTTTCTGTCTGACAATATCTGCTAACATGAGGTCTGCATTCGGTCGAGGAAGGATCAGAATGTCTTGAGTGTGTATTTCCTCACCTCTCTTAAATCCTAAAGAAAGGACATCATCACACCCTGATAGGCCCAGAGGGGAAATGCACCAAGCTGCTCTCAATTTTTTATTTAGGAGTCAGTCCCCACACCCTGCGCAACAGGTGATCTGAATAACACTCCAATCAGCAACTGTGACATCCAGCTGAAACAACTTGGGAAAAAAAGAAATGACAGCAAGTACCAAAGATTGAGGGACTGCTACACACCACACACATCTGATCAACTTGCATAAAGGGCAAGATAGGTGTGCATTTCACCATTTGAAGGTGATTTAAAAAATTACATGGTTTCTTTTATCTTACTTGTGCAGGGTTTAGCCATCTAAAAAGTTGCGCAGTCTTTTGTGAATTTGCCCCAGAATGTATATTCTAATCCTGTATGGAACATATCATGGTCCACATTGTTCAGAGCATGCAGTTTTACATACTTGTCAAGCAAAATCCCCAAATCTGTTGGTGATTTTAAATAAATCGCAGAACTGCTGCAAGAAATAAAACCTTGTGCTTTCATGTACTAGGATATCAAATTTTTGAAACGCAACATCTTGAAAAGAAGATATGCCCTGTGTGTCATTGCATCCATCAGGCAGTCGCTTATTGAGCCAAAAACACACGACAAACATCAGGTCATGTCAAGCATCATTTTTATTTTGAGATACTCAAGGAAAACAGTGTAATTGATATAATTCACTCTCAACTGGAAAGCTGTAAGCACAGACTAACTTCCACAGAATGTTTTTTGTTTTTCATAAGAGTCTCAAAGTCATGGGTGATGGTTGACAAAGTAACTTTAAGGTTGTGTTCAATGTTTACTCTGTTCCTGTACTTAGTCTTCAGGTGGACCAGAGCTGAGTCGCCACTTTCACGAAGATAGGTTGTGCAGAATGTTGGGATATGTTTGATTGCATGGGAGTCTTGTGACCCTCTGACACTTCCTTAAGAAAGAAGTTTTGAAGCAGAATGCAATAATCATTGCTTTGAGTTGACCTATAGGACATCTCATGAAGGAGGACTATTCACTGGATTAGAAAGAAATTAACTCTTCACATATTGATTATTTGCTGAGAATTTTATAATAAATCAATCATCCCACTTCTTCAATTATCCCACTGTTTTCTGGTACAAAATTTAACTTTTACACAGCATTTTACAAACTGTGTCTCAACCAAACTGGTTCATATAAAACCAAAAGCAAGAGCTCAAATAAAAAAAAGTCAACAGTTGTCTTTTCACATTGATTAAAGATATAGTTTTGAGGTGTTCAGACTCAAAAAGATGATAATACCTTTGCAAGACCCCCCCCCTTCTGATCACATCATGCTGGTTTTGGTTGTCTGAGACTGCAGCACTGAGAATCATGTCCACTTGGGATTCTTCTGTCAGTCAGTGTTGGATGAAGCTCTCCACTCTACCTCTCAGTAACATGGTCCAGTCAGAGTCTCTTCACTTTACATCCCAGTAACATGGTCCAGTCAGAGTCTCTCCTGTCTTCCTCCCAGTAACATGGCCCAGTCACAGTCTCTCCACTCTACCTCCCAGTAACATGGCCCAGTCACAGTCTCTCCACTCTACCTCCCAGTTACAGTACATGGCCCAGTCAGTCTCCCCGTCTTCCTCCCAGTAACATGGTCCAGTCAGAGTCTCTGATGTAGCTGCTTCAACCTCTCTGGATCATCAGGATGCAGCTGATTCTCTCACCACATCCACCTCACCACCACATCACTCATACTGACAGAGATCAGTTTCTAGCTGATGAGAAAAGAAGACAGACAACAGAAGTCATAAATTTAATTTACATGCACAGTTATGTCGAGCCATTTTATAGCACAACTAGGCCGTTTAATTGGACTACTGTCCTAGTCCCAGTATACAAGTAAAGGAGAAGGAATCTTAGCTATATAGCGTAGCCAGCTTCCTTTCAGCTCTAACATGTTGGAGTGAACATACTTAGCTTGAAGTTCACAGACCTGCAGAGACTTTGGGCATCAAGTCTGTTTATTCTGCAGATTTCACTGAGGTACACAGTGAAAATAAACAGCAGAGAGTCCTGAACACATCATCAAACAGAGATTCACTTGAATGACTGAGTCTGTTGTAGAATAAATATAATTTCAATTTGTTAATACAAAGACTGAACAGCAACACGTCAGCTGTGATTACTGGACCTCAGCAGAGGTTCTGTTGACCACATGGTTACTAAATGTAATGATGCTTCTTTGAAATCAGAGACACTAATTTGCAGGCTTCATACAGACTGATCTTAGAGCTGTGACAGAGACGACGAGAACAAACACTTTAAAGAGGATCTGTTATGCTTATGTTCAGGTTCATACTTGCATTTAAGGTCTCTAGCCTTTGTGCTCCACTGTCTCGCAGGTTAACTTATGTTGCAGCGGTGCCTGGATGGTGTGTCATGGTTGTGCTGCTGCTGTGGTCTTGCCTGATGCCTCCTACTGCTGCTGTTATTATTAGTCATATTTCTACTGTTATTATACACATATGATTATTGTCACATATGTACACTATCATATATTAATATATATCTACAAGATAATGTACCACAATAGCCATAATTATTATTGTAATATTGTTACTTTCATTAATGTTGTAAGCTACTGTCATTACCGTCTGTCCTGCATCTCTCTCTCTGTCTCTCTGTCTCTGTCTCTCTTTCTGTCTCATTGTGTCATACATATTACTGTTAATTTATCATGTTAATCTGTTCTGTACAACATCTATTGCACGTCTGTTTGTCCTAGAAGAGGGATCCCTCCTCATTTGCTCTTCCTGAAGTGTCTACCATTTTTTTCCCTGTTAAAGGGGTTTTTATGGGGAGTTTTTCCTTATCCGCTGTGAGGGTCCTAAGGTCGGAGGGATGGCGCATGCTGTAAAGCCCTGTGAGGCAAATTGTGATTTGTGATATTGGGCTTTATAAATAAAATTGATTGATTTGATTGATTGATTGATTGATACTAGAACATGTTTATCTCTTTAAGCCTCCTTCCTGAAAAGCTCTGTTTGCTCTGATTGGTCAGCTAGAGAATAACTGAAACAGAGAATAGCGTCAAAAATCACCAATAAAAGCTTCTAATCACAACCTAACATGTTCCAAGAGGATTATGATCTGAAATCTGGGAGAAATTAACGTCAGTGACCAAGATTACATGTTTCCCTGACGTTAGTATGTAGCTACATGAAGCAGCGTATGTAATGTAAACGGTTGCTGCAGCATGACTGAAGCAAATGACCATATAAAGAAAAATGTCACAAGCAGATGTCAGCGTATCTCATTGGAAACAGTCTGAGGTTTTTACTCAGGGATTACTTTTACATACATTAACCTCATTATTTAAAATTTTGGCCATGTATGACACAAAATAAGGAAAAAACATAATGGGTTCCCTTCAAGCTTAGATTACATGGTGAGACAGTTTGATGAAGGAGGACAGTTGTCTCTATACATGTTGTGATGCTGTCAGCTTTAATCCAGCTTTCTGTAGACATGAACGCAACAGTTGTCTTCACATCAGCTCAAGCACATGATCACACCAAGTTTCTGGCTGATTTGATTGGCTGACTGTTCTCTCTGTCTTTCTGTCCAGAGTTTACAGGAAATACTGGATCTTTGCTTTGATTCTAACTGTGTTTAGTACAATACTGCTGAAACCATCATGAACTGATTCCAACCCTCTACTGACCTCAGAGTCTCCAGTCTATAGTGTGGACTCTCCAAAAAATCACCCAGCAGCTTCACACCTGAATCCTGCAGGTTGTTTCCTCTCAGCTCCAGCTCTCTCAGATGGGAGGGGTTGGAATTAAGAGCTGAGGCCAGAGAAACACAGCTGATCTCTGACAACCTGCAGGAACTCAATCTGAATAAAGAATAAATGATGTAGATGAGTCATTCATAATCCAATCAGATGTGTTCAGATTTTTAAATTTGTAGCTCAACATCACTATGTCCTAATCAATGAGTTTTTCCCTAAAATGTGTATAGCGACTTTCTTGAGGGCTGACATTATGATGATCCTCAATAACACAATGACAGACATTCATACACCTATTCATGTCATGTCATGTCAGATTAATAACATGCTGATGATCTTAGTCAAGTTTGGAGTTAGAGGATCAATACAATATTGATATGCTGAAAATATGCTCTGTGTGTGTGTGTGTGTGTGTGTGTGTGTGTGTGCGCGTGCCTGCCTGCGTGCGTATATTTGTGCACTGAAGGATCAACAATGCAACCATGTACCAAAAAGTATCAACAGAAGTTTACTTTGATAACTTAATAACCTTAATAACAGTAGTAGTAGTTTTTTTCAGCAACAGAAGTCTGTTGTGATTGCAGGCTAAATTTTTACAAGAAAAATTAAAATAGGAATAAATGAAAATGCACATTTTCACGGATGTAAGTTATGTATGTATATAAATTTGGCCCAGTTGTTAATTAATGATAGATGGTAACAGATAGTCAGTGAACTGACCTCAGAATCTCCAGTCTACAGTGTGGAAAATCACGCAGCAGCTTCACTAATTCTTCCGTGTCTCATCTTGTCAACCAAAACAACATGAATTTTCTAGTAAACAAAACATAGCAGTTGCCGCAATCATGCAATCAGCACAGGTTGCTGATTTAGGTGACTTTTTAATTTAGTCATAATGACAAATGCTGGTTCAGCCAGTTTGCATACAATAGAACCAATTTAAGCTCGTACACTGAACCACACCAGCAAAATCCAGTTCTTTCAGCATGTAAACTTTAGGTTTGAGGAGCAATGTGAAGGAAAAACACATGCATGCATAGATCCCTTGCTTTATACTTCAATAGTTCAGATGATCTTCTGTATACAGATGTGACCATTTACCAAAAATTAAAAACAAATATTTACTGTAACAACTAACAGAGGACCTTTTCGTCTATTGTGACTACAGATCAATTTATACAAGAATAATTACACAGATAACAAATGGAAATATAAAATTTTCTGGGTGTAAGTTATCTATATGTAGATGAATAAGTTCAAATTGTTACTTAAATATGCAAGAGTGATAACTGTAACAGACAGTCAGTGAAATTACCTCAGAGTCTCCAGTCTACAACGTGGACTCTCCAGAAAATCACACAGCAGCTTCACTCCTGAATCCTGTAGATTGTTTTTACTCAGCTGCAGCTGTCTCAGATGGGAGGGGTTGGACGTCAGAGCTGAGGCCAGATAGCTACAGCTGATCTCTGATAAAGTGCACCAACTCAATCTGAATAAAGAAAAATTGGTAGATAAACATCATTAATAATCCATCAGATGTGTTCAGGTTTTGAATGTGTATCTCAACATTACTATGTCCCAATCAATGAGCTTTTCCCTAAAATGAGTGGAGCGACTTTTTCACTGTGTTATTGTGGATTATCATCAAGTCAGCCTTCTACAGACATCATCCAAATGTCACCACAACATTCATACACCTGTTCATGTCAACACAGATTAATAACATGCTGCTGATCTCAATCAAGTCTGGATTTAGAGGATCAATATTTAATTGGACATGTTGGACTAAAGAACTGTTCATTATTTTATTTCTTAAATGACCTTCTTCATATTGTTTTTATATATGTAATTAAAAGCAGAGCCACACATATATTTATGTTTGTCTTAAAACAACAGCCACATGCACATCAATAGTTATTGGTCAATTTAAACAAATATTAGTTCAGAGGATCTTCTTTGTATGATGTGACCATCCATCCATCCATCCATTTTCATCTGCTTATCCGGGGCTGGGTCACGGGGGCAGCAGGCCAAGCAAAGCACCCCAGACATCCCTCTCCCCAGCAATGCTTCCCAGCTTCTCCTGGGTGACCCTGAGGCATTCCCAGCCAGAGATATATAATCACTCCAGCGTGTTCTGGGTCAGTTCCAGGGCCTCCTACTAGTGGGACATGCCCGGAACACTTCTAACGGGAGGCATGCAGGAGGCATCTTCTCTATTTCTACTCCGAGCTCCATCTGGATGTCCGAGCTCCTCACCCCATCTCTAAGGCTGACCCCAGCCACCCTACAGAGGAAACTCATTTTGGGCGCTTGTATCTGTATCTGCAATCTTATTCTTACAGTCACTCCCCAGAGCTCACGACCATAGATGAGGGTTGGGACATAGTCTCTTTTTCTGACTGCTTCACACTCGGCTGCAAACCACCCTAGTGCATGCTGGTGGTCACAATGTGATGAAGCCAACAGAACCACATTATCTACAAAAAGCAGAGATGCAATTCTGAGGTCCCAAAACTGGACCCCTGACTGCCCCCGGCTGCACCTTGAGATCCTGTCCATGAATATCACAAACAGGATCAGTGACAAGGGACAACCCTGGCAGGGGCCAACGCCCACCGAAACTGTGTTTGACTTAACACCGAGTATGTGGACGCAGCGCTCACTTTAGCCATACAGGGACCAGATGTCTCAGAGCAGCGACTCTGGTACCCCGTTATCCCACAGTACCCCTCACAAGACTCTCTGAGGGATGTGGTCATAAGCCTTCTCCCAGTCCGCAAAATACATGTCAACTGGATGGGCAAACTCCGAAAACCCCTCCAGCAGCCTCAGAAGGGTAAAGGGCTGGTCCATTGTTCAACAGCCAAGACAGAATCGACATTGCTCATCCTAGATCTTAAGCCCTTCTGGCGAACCGGTAGCTGTCTGCTGCTTCAAGTAACCCCTGGGCCAGCCAGACCTGAAAGCCCTCCACCTTCAGCCTGACAGCCTCCCTCACCACGAGTAAATGGTAAATGGACCTGCATTTGTATAGCGCCTTTCTAGTCATCCGACCACTCAAAGCACTTTCTACACTATGAGTCACATTCACCCATTCACACACACATTCATACACAGGTGGCCGAGGCTACCATAAAAGGTGCCACCTGCTGGATTAAAGCTGCTACTTTTTAACACACTCACACACCAATAGACGCATCATCGGGAGCAATTTGGGGTTCAGTATCTTCCTCAAGGATACTTCAACATGCAGACTAGAGGAGCCGGGGATCGAACCGCTCATCTTCCAATTGGTGGACGACCCGCTCTAGCTCTGAGCCACAGCCGCTGTGTCCACCAGCTGATTCCCAGGTTGCCACCACGACAAGCACAGACAGCCTTCTGACTGCAGCTCTTAGCAGTTGCCTCCACAATGGAGGCTTTCAACATAGACAACTCAGACCACCCATGTCCCCAACCTCTCCTGGTATGCACAAAAAAATCCTCGGAGGGTGGGAGTTGAAAACCTCATGGAAAGGGGCTTCAGCCAGACATTCCCAGTTCACCCTCACTACACGTTCGGGTTTAACAGGTCTGTCCGGCAGCCTCCCCCGCCATCTGATCCAACTCACTCATGACAGTTCTGCTACTCTCTTCAACCGAGTGTCCAAGACGCCCCCATCCCAAGGTCTGGCTCCGGGACCCTGGTCAAGGCATTCCAAGTCTGAATTTTCTGTTTCATCAAGGTCTTCTTGAATCGCTGTTAGTCCGGCCCCTCCCCTGGGACCACTTTGCCTTAGGAGACCCTTCTAGGGGCTATTAGCCCTGGAAAACACAGCTCTCTGGTTCACAGGGACATGGAAACCCCTACACCATGTAGAGGTGGCAATTCTTGGTGGAGCTGTGACTATTTACCGAAAATGATAGTCAGAAACTTACTTTAACAACTAACAGTGGACATTTCCTACAGTTTCTTTAAGTCACAGAAGTCTGTTGTGACCGCAGACTAAATTTATACAAGAAAAAATAAAATATGAACAAATAAAAAAAAATGTTTGTATGTACAAATAATAGGTCCAGTTGTTAATTAAATGTAAAATGTAAAAGACGGTCACACCTCAGAGTCTCCAGTCTACAGTGTGGATTCTCCAGAAAATCACACAGCAGCTTCACTCCTGAATCCTGCAGGTTGTTATAGCTCAGCTCCAGCTCTCTCAGATGTGAGGGGTTGGATCTCAGAGCTGAGGCCAGACAACCACAGCTGATCTCTGACAAAGTGCACCAACTCAATCTGAATAAAGAAAAATTATGTAGATAAACGTCATTAATAATCCATCAGATGTGTTCAGGTTTTGAATGTGTAGCTCAGCATTACTATGTCCCAATCAATGAGCTTTTCCCTAAAATGAGTGGAGAAACATTTTCACTGTATTATTATGGATAATCATCAAGTCAGCCTTCTACAGACATCATCCAAATGTCACCACAACATTCATACACCTGTTCATGTCAACACAGATTAATAACATGCTGCTGATCTCAATCAAGTCTGGATTTAGAGGATCAATATTTAATCGGACATGTTGGACTAAAGAACTGTTCATTATTTAATTTCTTAAATGACCTTCTTCATATTGTTTTTATATATGTAATTAAAAGCAGAGCCACACATCTATTTAAGTTTGTCTTAAAACAACAGCCACATGCACATTACAAGAGTTATTGGTGGCAGTAATTATTCCTCCTGTCCACACTAAGTGTGAAGTGGTCCCTTCCTAACACAGCTACAATGTAAGAAATGACTTCATGAGTTAAGATAGAACTATTATGAAGCTTTTGCTGTCTCAGTTTGTCAAATCAAGTGGGTGTCTACCAAAGTTACAGACTGTTAAGCAACAAATCCCCTCTTTGAGTTACTATTCCTCCACTGCAACTCAACAAGGAAACACTGTAAAACACAAAATACTGACTGTGTCACTCAGACTGCTGAAGCCTCAGATTAGTTTAATCTGAACTTTTACAGAGAGTAAGACAGTGGATTTTGACCTCCATTTTGTAACATTGGATTAAGTTTATAAAGGGATTGTTTCACACACACCAACAAGACAAATGTACTTAGTAGAATGCAGATCTCCACCAGGTGACTGCATCACAGCTGTGACTCTAGACAACAATGCACATGGTCAAGCTGCACTCACTGAGATTTTCCCTCCTGGGTCCTTAACAGTCAAGATGGCAGCAAAGATAACATCTCGTATCACTCCTAATTTTAGTGGATCTTAACATATTGGGTATGTAATTAATCTGCAGGTGTTCTAGTTTAAAGTTAGACTTATTTTTTCTATGAATGTCAGTTTTTGAGTCATGACAGTCAGTCAAGTGCAGTCAGTAAAACAGTGAATCACCACCACCACGAGAGGTTCTTGAGCATACAGTCATAAATGATTACACAAAATATGAGGCTGATTGGTTCAGTAGATTGTGAGATTAGCTGCAGACAGACAGACTGACTGATACATATACTCCAACCAAATGCATGTTACCAATGGTCCAGCCATTTAGAAAGACAGAAAATTTTGGGAGAAAATGTAAAGCTTTGTGACCTCAGTCAAGGAGTTTAATTAAATATATACCAAAACAACTACGTAAACAAGTGAACTGACCTCAGAGTCTCCAGTCTACAGTGTGGACTCTCCAGTCCAGCACACAGCTGCTTCACTCCTGAATCCTGCAGGTAGTTGTCACTCAGGTGCAGCTCTATCAGGTGGCAGGTGTTGGACTTCAGAGCTAAGGCCACAACTTCACAGTGACTCTCTGAGATTCCACAGCCAGAAAGTCTGTTATGATACATATTTAAAAATATGTTATTATAGAGGAAGACACTTTATACTGACTTCACGCATTTGATGACTCAATAGTTTGACATGTCCTGAAGAAAATGACAAATTAAAGCTTATTAAAAGCATTTCAGGCACTTTTTTCTTTCAGTCCCTTGTCTTAAAGAAGGGGATGTGGCATCCACTAACATCCTCCATGCTTCCTATAAAGTGGCTCCAAAACCATTATGGAAAAATTATAGCAATAATCGATGGAAGCAGTTCTTTGGGACTACAGAAATCTGTTTCAGAAAATGACACAGATCTTATTTTTTTGTCTTAGGTGTAGTGGTCAAGAAACTCAGGGGTTATTTGCATATCTGATTATATAAATCACCTTCAGAACCTACTGATGGTGTAATAACTGCATTCACTGATAACCATAAAATACTGCTACATGTTGGGCTGAAATGCCTCAGGATAAAACCTCAACCACAACCTCTAAAATCCTTCATTTGTTTGACCAAGTTCACTGTTGCCTCCATCATACAAAGGTGAAAAACGAACAATTATTAGAAATGAACAGAATAACTCGGTTTCATTAACTTGATAGCTATAAACACAACCAACAGAAAAATCTACAATTTTTACACACAGCATTTGAAACGGCTCAAGAACATCTGTGACAACAGACACATCATTTTTGTAATAAACAAGTGGAACATATTTTAAGAATAATAAAAAAAATTAGTGTGTATATTTGAAGAACTAAACTACTAATCTACAATGATTTATGATATTAATCACATCTGGACTCACAGAGCCTTTCTGCAGTTCCTCACAGCTGGAATCAGTCTCTGTCGTCCCTCCCACGATGTATTGTACTTCTGCAGGTCAAAGTCATCCAGAACCTCCTCTGACATCTGCAGCATGTAGGCCAGAGCTGAGCAGTGGAAGTCAGAGAGCTCCTTCTCTGACCTGTTCTCTGACTTAAGGAACTCTTGGATCTCCTGATGTACTGAGAGGTCGTTCATCTCCAGCAGACAGTGGAAGACGTTGATGCTTCTGTCAGGAGAGATTTTGGACATGTTCATCTTCTTCAGGTTGTTGATGGCTCCCTGAATGATTTCTGGACTGTTGTCTGTACGACCAAGCAGGCCTCCCAATAGTCTCTGGTTGGACTCCAGAGAAAGGCCATGAAGGAAGCGGACAAACAGGTCCAGGTGACCATTTTTACTTTGGAAGGATTTCTTCATGGCTCTCTCCAGTAAAACATCCAGGGATCTGTAATTCTCCCCATCTTTCCCCAGGAAGTACTCCAGTACCTCTGTCTTCCTGTTGGTGAAACAGTGAAACATGTAAACTGCAGCCAGGAACTCCTGAATGCTCAGATGAATGAAGCAGTAGACTGTTTTCTGGAAGATCACAGACTCTCTTTTGAAGATTTGTGTACAAACTCCTGAGAACACCGAGGCCTCTGTGACATCAAGACCACAGCGCTCCAGGTCTTCTTGGTAGAACATGATGTTTCCTTTCTCCAGATGTTCAAAAGCCAGCCTCCCCAGCTTCAGAAGAACTTCTCTGTCAGCCTCCGTCAGCTCCTGTGGACTCGTCTCATGTCTCTCATCATACTTCTTCTTCTTCCTCTTTGTCTGAACCAGCAGGAAGTGAGAGTACAGGTCAGTCAGGGTCTTGGGCAGCTCTCCTCTCTGCTCTGTAGTCAACATGTGATCCAGAACTGTGGCAGTGATCCAGCAGAAGACTGGGATTAGACACATGATGTGGAGGCTCCTGGATGTCTTGATGTGGGAGATCATTCTGCTGGACAGATCTTCATCACTGACTCTCCTCCTGAAGTACTCCTCCTTCTGGGCGTCAGTGAAGCCTCGTACTTCTGTTACCCTGTCAACACATGCAGGAGGGATCTGATTGGCTGCTGCAGGTCTGGAAGTTATCCAGATGAGAGCCGAGGGAAGCAGATTCCCCTTGATGAGGTTTGTCAGCAGCATGTTGACTGATGACTTCTGTGTGACATCAGTCACAACCTCATTGTTGTGGAAATCCAGAGACAGTCTGCTTTCATCCAGGCCATCAAAGATGAACAGAACTTTACAGACAGAGAGCTCCTCTGCTGTTACCTTCTGTAATGTTGGATGGAAAACATGGAGCAGAGTGAGAAGACTGTAATGCTCATCTTTGATCAAGTTCAGCTCCCTGAACGAAAGCAGAATCACCGGACTGACATCTTGGTTTTCCAAACCCTCGGCCCAGTCCAGAGTGAACTTGTGCACTGAGAAGGTTTTTCCAATGCCAGCGATGCCATTCGTCAGAACGACTCTGATGTGTATCTGTTGGTCGGGTAAATCTTTAAAGATTTCGTGACACTTGATTGGAGTGTCATGGAGGATCTTCTTGTAAGCTGTCTCAAGCTGCATCACCTCATGTTGGGTATTAACCTCTTCACTCTGTCCCTCTGTGATGTAGAGCTCAGTGTAGATCCTGTTGAGGAGGGTTTCTCTTCCTGTTTCATCACTTCCTTCAGTCACATGTTCACATCTCCTCCTCAGACTGATTTTATGTTCATCTAAAACCTCCTGCAGACCACTATCTCCTGAAAGAGAAGGAACACTGTGAGACTAAAGGAAAAGAGAAGTAGACTCTATTTCCTAAGGAGGCTGAGGTCATTCAACACCTGCCAACCCCTACTGCACAGTGTTTACCACTCAGTGGTGGCCAGTACTCTGTTTTTTGCTGTGACGTGCTGGGGAGAGGGGACACGTACGGCAGACAGGAACAGAGTGGACAAAGTCATTAAGAAGGCCAGCTCTGTGGTTAGCTCTTAACTGGACACTGTCCAGCAGGTGGTGGAAGACAGGATGCTGTCCAAGATGAGGGCAATCTTGAAAAATCCCTCCCATCCACTTCATGCACTGGGGGTGATCAAAGGGAGCACCTTCAGTGACATACTGATTATTCCTAGGTGCAAGTCAGAGCGCAGCAGGAGGTCTTTTCTTCCTGCTGCAATGAAACTTTTTAATGAGCACTTATGACACATACGTGACAGTGTGCGTTTTCTGTTTTTTATCTTAATTTATTTATTTATTTATTTATTTATTTATTTATGCATGTAGGTGTGTTCAATTATGGCTGCTGTAACAAAGTAATTTCCTGTGAAGGATTAAATAAAATACTCAAAAGTACCTCTTGTATAAAATTCTAGTTCCGCCACTGCATGACATCAGAGGACAGATGTATAGTCTTACTTTGTACAGTGATGGTCTGACTGGCTGTCTGCCATCCAGCTCTTGTTCTGGATCTTTTCCCACTCTGAGGACAGGAGGAGTCTCCTGATGAAGCAGACTGGTCCCAGTATGATGTGATGCACTGTCTGCAGAACCAGTGTCCACAGCTGGTAGAGACTGGATCCTTCAGGACGTCCTGACACAAAGCACAGCAGGACAGCTGCTCCTCCCCAGAAACATGACTCCTCTTCTTCTTCGCTCTGTGGAGATGAACACATTCTTTAGACCCTGAGATGCTAAAAACCTCCTGAGTAATGTTCTACTCCTCTGTGAGACAACTTTCAAAAGGCTCAAAGCTTCCTCATGTCTTTCAACATTTCCCTGCAGTCAAACTGTTCTTGTTGAGAAGTAATCACTCCTCAGGTGGTTTTAGTTTTAATTAGTCTTTAGTTTTAGATTAATCACTTGTCTCAGCAAATTCATTCTCTCATCATTCATCCTTTAACTGCTGAACTGCTTTAAAATCTACAAGTGTCATGAGATGGGCATGGGCATCAAAGTCTGTCCATCCCCTTAGTTTAAGAGTGTCATCCTGGACAGTACATTGTCCTCTGAGGCACACATCAATAATGCTTCGAGGTCTGCATGCTTTCGTCTCCACCTGTCGCAGACACCTCACAGCACTGCTATCCCCTTTAACTCTTTGGTTGCATCCCATATTTATTATTGCAACTCTGTCCTCTTTGGCCTCCCTCTCAAGTGTCTTCATTAACATAAAATAGCCACCTGTATCATTACTAGAACCCCCTCCATAGATCACATCACTCCTGCAGCTTCACTGGCTTCCTGTTAAATATTGTATGGATTTCAAGATTGTGCTTCTCACATTTAAGGCCCTTCATAACCCAGCCCCTCTGTATCTTTCTGAACTCCTTTATATCTACACACACTCACATACTCTTAAATCCACCTCTGCTCCTTCCCACTTGACTACCATGGGTTTGAGAGCCTTCAGCCATTCTGCCCCCCAGCTTTAAAACTCTCTGCCACAAGACATTTGGAATATTGACTCCCTTTCACATTTCCCCATTTGAAAACACACCTGTACCGTCTGTATATAACCAGTATGTTTCTCAGTTTCTGATTTGTCACAGCAGCCAGTTTGCCATTGTGTTCTGTCTGTTTAAGGCCAAATAGTATTGACGTTTGTTTTGGGTTTTTGTGGTAGATGTCCAATAGTTGATGTCATTTTCTTTTTCTTAAGATATAATTTGGTTGGGCTGGATTGTGTGAGGTTTGTCCTGAGGCCTTGTGCTGTTGGAGGAGGTGAGCCTCAGGACCAGCTGGCTGAGAGGACTCCTCGCACTCCTCTGGGGTCACTTGTTTTAAGGTATTTGTAGAATTTCATTACTCTTTTTTGAATCCTAATTACAAGGGAGAATTGAGTTCAGCTCGGCATCCATTATTAGGGGTGTTCCTGTGGACTCTGAGTATACTGTTGCAAATCTCAGTGTGTGGGACTTCATCTGGGTGTTTGTCCAATTTTTCAAAGTCTTGATTTGCAAGAGGACCCCACACTTCACTACACTACAGTAATGCGGGTTGGATTATAGATGTGAATATTTCGAGCCAGATTCTAACAGGTAGACTTTTTCTATAGCATAAAAAGCTCTCATTTCCTTGTCTCTGAGATCATTAACGGCCAGATTGTAATTTCCTTTTAGGGTTATTCTTAGTCCCAAATATGTGTAGCTGTGTCTGTGTTTTATGTCAGTCGAGCCCAGTAGGAACCTGATTGGGTTTCCCTGACACCTGGGTCGCTTCTGGAAGACAATAATTCTAGTCTTTTTCAGATTAACCATCAGGGCCCAGGTCTGACTGAAGATTTGCAGCTGATCCAGTTGCTGTTGTAATGCTTTCTTGGACAGAGCTGACGGTATTAGATCATCTGCAAAGAACTGGCGTTTAATTCCTGTGTCAGAAAGGCTGAGACAAAGAACGTCTGACTGTTCTGGTGATGTTGCTAATTACACAATAAATGTTAAACGGGGTGGGGCTGAGACTGCAGCCCTGTTTCACCTCTCTGTCCCGCACTGTTTCTGTTATAGTCTCTCTACCTTCTTGTGTGTCCAATGAAACAGTGCTGCAGATTATACACCAGCTATTTCCAAATGTTAAATTTCAGACTCAGTTTCCTGCTGCAGTAAGAAGTCAGCAGGCTCTTTGTACACATCTACATATTCTCTTCACAAATTTTGAGCCACTGAACAGGAAACTGATAAAATACATTGAATTTGAACACTGAACACTTCTTAGGGTCATTTTACAGTAGAAACAGTCTCTTACTTTGTGTCTGAGGGTCCAGGTTCATTACTGAAGCTTATAGGTCTGTCCAAAGACCAGTCACTCTTCAAAGACAGACAACCTGACACTGGAGACTCTGCTCTCTGTCTGTGGAAACAACAAATATTTTACACATATCTTTAGACCTTGTAAAGAGCAGATGTAACATTAACATGACACATGATCAAGATTTGATAATAACAACAAATAGTTGTGTTTATTTCTCCATCTGCATCTTTGTACCTTGAGCATGTGTTTGGATCTAGAAGCACTAAGGTGTGTCAGATGCAGCAGCTACAGCTGTTATCACAATGTGTCACATGCACATTTAATCAACATTTAGGTAAATATAAGTATCAGGTCAGACTCTGTATCAGTAGATACACACATTAAAAGGACTCTGATCCCCAGTGAGTGACTACAACAATACCTCATGTTATTATAAAAACACAGTGTTGTAGTGTAGATTATCAGATAATATTAAAAACGGAATCATATTCAGGTCAGTTTACAGTAGAAACAGTCTCTTACTTTGTGTCTGAGGGTGCAGGTTCATTACTGAAGGTTATAGGTCTGTCCATAGACCGGTCACTCTTCATAGACAGGCAGCTGGACACTGGAGACTCAGCTCTCTGTCTGTGGAAACAACACATGTTTTACACATATCATTAGACCTTGTAACATTAACATGACACATGATCAAGATTTGATAATAACAACAAATAGTTGTGTTTATTTCTCCATCTGCATCTCTGAACATTTTACCTGCAGCTGGAAACATGTTTATTGTAGGAGTGAAGAGTTTGTAATGGCAATATAGCCCAACTTTGTACCTTGAGCATGTGTTTGGATAGTAGCACTAAGGTGTGTCAGATTCTGCAGCTACAGCTGTTATTACATCACTGTACTCTACTGAGTTTCTTTACACTACTCTACTGTACTTCTATGTCCTATGCTTCTTTATTCTATTGACTTACTTTACTGTACTCTGCTGTGCTGTATACATGTTCTGCGTGTGCAGCTTGAAGGAATTTCACTCTGCTGTCTTTTACTGTATAGTGGCAATGAAGCTGAACCAGTGTTTGGATCTAGAAGCACTGAGGTGTGTCAGATTCAGCAGCTACAGCTGTTATTACAATGTCAGATACACATTTTTGTCAATATTTAGGTAAATATAAGTATCAGGTCAGACTCTGTATTAGTAGATACACAAATGTAAAGGACTCTGATCCCCAGTGAGTGACTAAAACAATACTTCATGTCATTATAAAAACACAGTGTTGTAGTGTAGATTATTAGATAATATCAAAAACTGAATCATCTTCAGGTCAGTTTACAGTAGAAACAGTCTCTTACTTTGTGTCTGAGGGTCCAGGCTCATTACTGAAGAATGGAGGATCAGACTTACTCTTCAAAGACAGACAGCTGGACACAGGCGACTCTGATCTGTCCCCCTCTTCCTCCAAATCACTCATCTTCTCAAATCTGAGACGACTGGACACACACACACACACACACACACACACACACACACACACACACACAGCATAATGAAGTCAGTACATTACCCATACAGTCAGTAACTTGTTATTGACAGGACACTGATTACATACTGGGTGGGTATTTTCCTGACACTATAACAGACTAAACAATTAATCAGAATAAAAATCAGCAGATGAATCAATAATGACAGTAATCATTATTTACAGGTCTAGTATTAACACTCACCCTGACTCAGACAACCTGTATTCCTCTGACTGCTCCATCGAGTTTAAAATGGAATCTGGGACAAACAGGTTTTATCTTCAGTGTTCTACCTGTTTGTAACTCCTCCTCCCTTTTTTAGAAAGGAATCTGGGTGAAGTTGCAATCACAGTGGCTTGAGACTAAACTTGGGATCGAGATTTGGGACCCCCTAATATTATTATTACTATTATTATTATTTTGGCACATTAACATAAGAAATAAAAAGCAACATCAGTCAGTCAGTGTGCTGCTTCTCTTCTCTGTGTCACTGCCTGTTTGCAGGAGGGCAGGGCTGCACTCTACACACACACATACACACACACACACACACACACACACTCACAGCGAAGGGACTTATACATATTTTAGGATATATTTAACTGGAGTCAGTGACATGGGTGCTCATTATAACTACAACAAAAATGTATCAAACACCTGTTGAACAAGCAACACACTATTTCTTTTTCTTTTTCTACTTTAATATTTTACTTTTTAAATTTGGCCCGTGGCATGAATTCTACATTAAAAGTGTGCTGTAACACCTGACAACTGTATTTGAGTTTTAACTCTGCCAGACTGCAAGAACCCCTGCCACTCCCTCATCACTGTCCCTTGTCACAGTCACCACAGTTAACGCACTTAAATCGAGCACCCCACAGAGCAGCATCACATCTCCTTGTGACCTGTCTTCATGGACAGACAGGTAGTGATCATGTTTTGCTCTAAGCCTTGGTATTGTACACTTTTAAAACATCTCAATACAGCCAGTCTAACTTTGGCAATAACCACCGTTAATCCTAACAACAAGTAAGCTAGTCTGGCATCAAATCCCATTGTCTCCTTCAAACTCTGTCAGATTCGGGTTTACCAACTCCCTGGTGTGAGCAAAGACAGATGCTGAATTGCTTTCCCACCTCCACATGTCTTTAAAAAACAAACAGAGAATATTTAACTTTCTCAAGCTGGGGAAAGAACATCTGTAAGCCCGTTAGAAATGGAGGGAGGCTGTGAGGATTTCCATTAGAGAAAAATTTAATTTTATTTCTGAACCAACAGGAATTAAAGCATTTAGCTGGATCACAGGTTAAATTAAAGGGTTCTGTAACAACAAGATGAAATATAAAATAAGCCTTGCATTTCAGGCCCAAAGAAAAGAAACATGTTTTTAGAAAGCTGAATTTGATGTAAATGAACCAAACTATCTCCCAAAAGACTGTTTTCTCTTCAGCACTCTGTTAACTTCATATGTAACTGAAGAACTCTGAGATAGATAAATCATAATGAGTGTGTCGGTGTGTCAGAACAGCTTCTACTCTGCACATCCAGAACCATTTAAACCTCACTACAGAACAGTGATCTACAGGAGAACAAATATTTGACAGCAGCACAGAATGGGAAGGAGAAGAAGAGTGTTACCTTTAAACTTTTCCAGCCTAATTAAAGAGTGAAAAATCAAAAGCTCAAAAAAAACCAAAACAAAGTATTGTCTAGTTCTCAAGAATGAGTGAGTTAATTTGTTGTTTTTCTCTACAGGCTGCAAATCAATGAGCAGAAGAAAGTGGACGGAAACAGAGATCGGGACAGTCGGATAGCATTTCATCTTACAGTGCAAACTGCCTCAGAAGAGAAACTGCTCTGACTACACTCAGACAGAAAAAAGAACATGTCAGAAATGGAATACCTGCTCTAAAAAGGCAAATGTTCAATCAGAACACCTGTTAAATGTACAAAAACTAAGTATCAAACAGGTGTTCAATTGACAATGCATACACCCACCCAGTGCCTTAGGCCTAGTCCACATGAGCACGGGTATTTTTAAAAAATCTGCGTCCATACGAGCGGTGTAATAAAAATACCTCCATCCATATGACACCACAAATTCCACTATCAAGCAATGTAATACACATGCCAAAGCAGTATGTGGCGATATAACTCCTAACTGTAAGGCCAATGTAGCCAATCAGAAGGCAGTAAAACGTCATTACCCGAAAAACAACAACAGCAGGAGCAGTCTCCCTAATAGCACACTCTTGCCTCTGTTGCTGGATGTGGTTGAGTAGCGTTAGTTGTATGATACAGCCACAAAGTGCTGATATGCTGCTAAACAGCAGCAGTATTTTGTTTAGGTCCATCATCAAATTGTCTCTCGCACACACTGGATCGGGTAATAACACAGCTGTTTTCTGTTTACGTTGCACACTGTGACGTCATACAATGGAGACGAGACAAAATAACTGATGACTGCTGACACCGGACTTTTCCTAAAAGTTCACCCTGGACTCCGGTTACAAATAATTCCGGTTACAGGGGCCCAAAACTGCAGTTACGTGTGGATGAAAGGGCAAACTGTGAGCAAAGAGTCACGGTTTTATAAATACCCGCGTTGGTGTGGACAGCCCCTTAGAGTTTGATTTGTTGTTGATGTTGTTGTTTCATTTGAAATGTTGTTTTTTTGTTATATTTAAGTACTGAATAGGACCCACTATGCAACAAGTCAGACTCAGAGACAAAAAAGCAAAGGATAACAAAAACTGAATGGAATGTTCCAAGTAAAAATATCACCAAACAAAACTCTACAAAAATAAAGGGGTAGAGAGCGGACAGGCAGAGAAGTCAGGGTCTTCATCCAAACACACAAAAAGAGTTGACAAAAAGGCAAAAACAGGGGCAGCAAAAGCATTCACAGAGGTTCTTCAGAGTCTGAGTGGTTACCACTATGGGAAACGGACGATTTGACAAATACTGGAAGTTGAACTGGAGTCTGTATGGTGAGCAGGCAGGTGAGTTCTTGATTGATGGCAGGTGTGCAGTGGAGGCAGAGGAGGCAGGGACGAACAGGAGAGGGAGAGTGGTCAGCCACGCCCTGCAGCAAGGGAGAAACTAACACAGACAGGGGAGAGAGACAGACAAGAAACACAAGGGAGAGGGGAAAACACAAGAAACATGAGGGAAGAGGGAGGAGACTGCCGATACCCAACATTTTTCTTGTTGTTTAAGTCTGCACCATGACCCAGCCCATCAGGCTGAGGATCAGCTTTGGTGAAGATGATGACAGGAAGCTAATTCTGCCAGCAGGGATACCAGACTCCATAGAGGAATTGTTCCAGACAAGTAAGACCAGTTTTGGATTAAATTTCCAGCTTCAATATCAACATGCTGATTTCAGAAATTAGTTCATAAACCTGTTGCTGACCACAAAAATAAATGACAAAGCAACCATCACAATGATCTACTTTCAGATTTATGCAGAAGAAGATGATGCACGGACACATCAACCTCTGGCAGCCCAACACATTCCTCATGAAACTCCTCGATGGACACAGATACTGTAACACAGAGCCTGTTTCATCTCCATCTTAAAGGCTGTGGAGTTCGGCCAAGTGTTTTCATAATTCCTTGTTTTAGCTGTGATGCTGAACTGAAACTGAAACTTGAAACAATGTTGGATTTTTCAAGCATCCTGCAGTCGAGACAGAACACAGGTGTCCTGTCAACAGTTCTACAGACGTCTCTTTTACAATGGTGGTCTATAGGGAAATTGCTTCTTTGCAATACTGCGAGTGGCTGCTGGAGAAAGTTGGAGGCAAGGCTGGGTGATGTTCCTGAGGGCTTGATGTTTCTGCCTGGGCAGAACCATAGACTGTTTAAATAATGGACAATGCTACTGTGATGTCACCCATTGGTTTATGGACTCCTGCTTTGAAGCTTTGAGTTCGGCACTTCAGCCGTTGCTATCTTGGCTTATGGAGCCAGAAGTGACCATATGTGGGTGAGAGGCTGGAGCTGTGGAAAAGCGAGGGGTGGATCTGACTGAGAAGCTAAGGACACCATCAGCAGATGGCATGTCACTCAAAGTGGCCCCGCCCTTAATTAGACATAACTTTAAGCCTTAATAAAATGTAAAGAGGTGAGTTATAGCAGCTGACTGACTGTGAGCAGGTCTGAAGAGTCCTCTGGATTACATCACTTCAGAAACATGTGGAATAATAACAACATTGTTTTTAATCATTTTTGTTGATTACAGAACAAAAATATTTCGCTGACAGTTTCATGTAGGTGGGAGCTCTGAGAAATTATTTGTGCCCCTTCTCATTTATTTATTGTGTCAACACATTGGTTTCTGTAAATAATGCACTCTGCTACAGAATATAATGATTCACATAAAATAGGAACATAAATATGCAGAAGAAAAAAGAACGTGTTACAGAAATATCATCTATCAGTGATAAAAATGATTAAACGTAGTTGCAGACTTCTGCTTTCTGACATCAACCTCCAACATACAGGATCATATGAACATGAACAGCAGTTCTCCATCATTCCACAGTGTGGAGGTGCAACACAAAACAATACAGAGATAATCACAGACTTTACACTAGTTGACTGTAATCTGAGCAGCCTGAGTGCAGTTTAAATGACTGTCCATTTACATGTTTGTTGTCATAAACAGTAGAAATCTGCAGGGTCAGATTCAGCATATCTATCTACAAAATCCAGACTCACGTCTAGGTGGAGGGTGGAGGAGGTGGCTGAGTGTGGAGCAGAAGGAGTGAAGGAGTTTCAGTGTAGAAGGACAGAGCAGTCAATGATACACTGATGATGATTCTCTGAATAGAGCATGTTACTGGGAGGTAGAGTTCCTCTGGAGTCTCTCCACTCTACCTCGCAGTAACATGCTTCAACCTCTCTGGATCATCTCTCTCAACACATCTACCTTTCAGATCACTCACTCTGGCAGAGTTCACCTCCAGCTGATGAGAGAAGAAGACAGACAGTCATTAATCAGCTGTCAGTCAGTGATGTAACACATCCAGTATAAAGACCAGCAGGGACTTAAGTCCTGTTCAGACCAGAAGCGGAGCATTCATCTCGTATCATGCTTAACTTTAAATGGATCATAACTCCTCACATCAACTTAAACAAATGATCACAACAAGTTTCTGGCTGATCTGATTGGCTGACAGGCACTGAGAAGGTTAAAGGTTTACAGATAATAGTGGATATTTGCTTTGATACAAAATGTGTTCAGTACAATGTTACTTAAACCGGCATTAACTCACTCCAACCCCCTACTGACCTCAGAGTCTCCAGTCTACAGTGTGGACTCGCCAAAAGATCAGAGAGCAGCTTCACATCTGAGTCCTGCAGGTTGTTTCCTCTCAGCTCCAGCTCTCTCAGATGTGAGGGGTTGGACTTCAGAGCTGAGGCCAGAGAAACACAGCTGGTCTCTGACAAACTGCACCAAGTCAGTCTGAATAAAGAATAAATTATGTACAATTGTAGTTAAAAATTCTATGCATTCATAAAAATAAAATCAATAAATAAATAAATTTGCTTTAACAACTAACAGTGGACATTTTGTACAGTTTAGAAACAAAAGTCTGTGTCAAAAAAGACAATATGAACAAATGAAAATGGGAATTTTTAAGTATGTAAGTTAGGTGTGTGCAGACATTGTTAAATTGTAATTACATGTATAATATCTATAACAATAATAAACAGTCAGTGAACTGACCTCAGAGTCTCCAGCCTACAGTGTGGACTTTCCAGGAAATCACACAGCAGCTTCACTCCTGAATCCTGCAGGTTGTTGTAGCTCAGATCCAGCTCTGTCAGATGGGAGGGGTTGGTCTTCAGAGCTGATGCCAGAGAAACAAGGCTGATCTCTGACAAACTGCAGTACCTCAATCTGAATAAAGAAAAAACGTTGTAGATAAAGTCATTAATTATTCAGTACATAGGTTCAGTTTTTAAATGTGTTGCTCAACATTACTATGTCCTAATCAATGAGTTTTTCCATAAAATAACTAGAGTGACTCTGTCATTGTGTTATTGTGGATCATCATAATGTCAGCCTTCTACAGACATCATCCAAATGTCACCACAACATTCATACACTTATTTATGTCAACATAGATTAATAATATGCTGCTGTTTTCAAGTCTGGAATTAAAGGATCAATACTATATTGATCAAACAGCTGCATCTGGAAATATGCAAAATATTAGCACACACATCAATTTCCCTTTAAACAGTTTCTTTACGAAACAGAAGTCTGTCATGAGTACAGACTAGATCTGTACAAGACAAATAAAAATATGAACAAATGGGAACATACATTTTTATGGATATAAATTACATATGCACATAAATTAGATCACATTATTACTTAAAGATATCAGGTAACTGAAAATTACTGAACTGACTTCAGAGTCTCCAATCTGCAGTGTGGACTCTCAAGACAATCACACAGCAGCTTCACTCCTGAATCCTGCAGGTCATTTCCACTCAACTGCAGGTCTCTCAGATGGGAGAGGTTGGACTTTAGAGCTGAGCCCAGATAAACACTGCTGATCTCTGACAAATTGCAGGAGATACATCTGAACAAAGAATAAATGATGTAATTTTAGAAAACAAAGTGCCTGCTTGAAATCATTCAGTGTTTGTTTTCAGAGCTGAGGAAGGTTTAGAATGTAGAGGTTTAGGAAAAAGGAAACTTAAAACACCTGAAGTGAAAAATAGCTCTCATTAACATGAATGACAACATGCTCCTACTTTGAAAAAGATTAATGACTTTGCCTCTTGAACTCTGCCAGTTCCACTCGTCATGATGTGCAGCCAAACACAACTCATTTATTTAAAGAATCATAAAGGTAACTTTAAGTTAAAATCAACTGTTTGACAGGTTCAGAGTGAAATACCCAATGATAATTTGTATTATATTAAGGGTTTAGCTCAACAATGCTCTGCCACAGTCAATGGACTAAACCATTGAAGAAGCTTTAGCATGAAGACACTGTGACACAGTGTGAATATCAGCCTTATGTCTGCAGCTTAGTGTTACTACAACTTTCACATCATATTAATCTCAGTACAGAAGTATGTGATGGTGTCTGACCTCAGAGTCTTCAGTCTACAGTGTGGACTCTCCAGAAATTCACACAGCAGCTTCACTCCTGAATCCTGTAGCTCATTGTGACTCAGCTGCAGCTCTCTCAGACGGGAGGGGTTGGACTGCAGAGCTGAGGCCAGACAGCCACAGCTGATCTCTGACAAACTGCAGGAACTCAACCTGAATAAAGAATAAATCATGTAAATAAAATTCATTAATGATACAATCAGATGTGCTCAGGTTTTAAATGTGTAGCTCAACAGTACTATGTCCTAATCAATGAGCTTTTCCCTAAAATAACTAGAGTAACTTTGTCATTGTGTTATTATGGATCATCATCATGTCAGCCTTCTACAGACATCATCCAAATGTCACCACAACATGCATACACTGATTCATGTCAACACAGATTAATATCATACTGCTGATCTCAGTCTCAAGTCTGAAATTGGAGGGTCAATATCAAATCAGACATGTTGGACCAAATAACTGTTCATTATTTCATTTCTTACATGACCTTCATCATACCGTATTTGTATATGTAATTAAAAGCAGAGGCATATATATTTGTTTAAGTCTGTCTTAAAACAACAGCCACATGCACATTACAAGAGTTATTGGTTGCAGTCATTATACCTCCTGTCCACACTGAGTGTGAAGTGGTCCCTTCCTACCACAGCTACACTGTAAGAAATTACTTCATGAGTTCAGCTAAAACTAATAAGAAGCTTCAGCAGTCTGAGTTTGTCAAATCAAGTGGGTGTCTACCACAATTACAGACTATTTAGCAACAAATTCCCTCTTTGACTTTTCTCCACTGCAACTCAACAAGGAAACACTGTAAAACACAAAATACTGACTGTATCACTCAAGCCCCTTTACACTGCCAGATTTTCTGTGAATGTTGGGCTGTTTTGCTGGCAAGCTGCGAGTGTTTAGACACACAGAGCCGGATTGGTGAGTTGATCCGAGGTGCCCAATTTTCCGCCTCGTAGGGTAGTCATATTGGTGGAACCCTTTTAGTTTAAACAGACCAAGGCGGCCTTCCACAACGGAAGGGGCTGTTGAAGACTTGTGGGAGGAGCTGTTGATGATGCCACACGTGCGAGCCACTGGCGGTGGATAAACGGGAAACAGCTGATAGCAGGAATTAGCGAGCAGCTGGTACCACGAGGGAAACGCAAACCTGACAGACACTGTAAACATGAGCAACTGAGGAGACAAGGAATTGCACGCCCTAATTGCCCTCACAAACATAGAGGCCATTAACCGCCAGATGACAGGAACGGTGAAGAACAAGCCGACCTACGAGAGAATCGCTGAAGGACTGACCAGCCGGGGCTTCCCTCCCACATCACTGTTTACATCACACGCTGAGCTACACGTTTTGTTACTTGCTCACTAACACCCCATTCCCCCTGAAAAAGGCGCATTCTGTATAAACAAAAGTAGGTAGGCGGCATTTTGCCGCACTCCCCGATTTTGCTTTTATACTGCCAATGCTTAAAGAAGACTGATTGTTCTTTGCTGCAAATTTGCACATTTCCTATCTAAAAGGGGGCTTCGGAGTGCTGAAGCCTCAGATTGATTTAATCTGAATTTCTGAACAAGACTGTGGATTTTGTCCTCCATCTGGTAACACTGGAGTCAGGTTATAAAGGAATTGTTTCACAGACAGCATGGATAGAAGGAATGATTACAGACACCAACAAAAAAAGTGTACTTAGTAGAGTGCAGATCTCCACCAGGTGGCTGCACCACAGCTGTGACTCTTAAAAACAATGCATGTGGCACAGTTGTGTTCCATGAAAATTGTGAATCAGCACAACCACGAGAGGCCCTTGAACATAGTCATATATATAAACACAAAATCTGAGGCTGTTTTGTCTAGTAGTTTGGGAGATTAGCTGCCAACAGACAGACAGATACACATGACCACAATCAAATGCATGATCCCCCACAGGCTTGCAATGCCTAACTCTTTGAATGTACATATGGACACCTGAGTATTGTATTGGCATAGACTTGAAAAAATATAAGTGTGTCCTTTATAAGACAAAGATGTTTCCAGTGCAGACTATGTATTTGCTTTTTGTTGCAATCTAAAAGGTCTGTGGCTCCAAATGATTAGTCAATGTTGACATGAAAACAAGAATTACTCAGAACCTCAGGAATCCTAAATTTTGCTTTTGATGGATCTCAAACTTGATGATGTCATTCTAAACTATAATTTCTCTATGTTTTGTTGACAATTTTTCAGGCATTTGGAGAGACACAAAATTTCTGAAAAAAGTGAAATCCTGAAACCTCAATTAAGGACTTGAATTGAATATATACCAAAAAAATGCATTAACAAGTGAACTGACCTCAAAGTCTCCAGTCTACAGTTTGGACTCTCCAGTCCAACACACAGCTGCTTCACTCCTGAATCCTGCAGGTCACTGTGACCCAGCTGCAGCTCTCTCAGATGGGAGGGGTTAGACTTCAGAGCTGAGGCCACAACTTCACAGTGAGTCTCATCCAGTCCACAGCCAGAAATTCTGTCATGACACATATTCCAAAATATGTTATTATGGAAGAAGACAATTTATATTGACTTCATGCCTTTGATGACAATAATGCATGACAGCAGTTCTTCAGGACTTCAGAAATCAGCTTTGGAAAATGATACAGATCTTATTTTTAAGTCTTATGCATAGTGGTAAATAAACTCAGGTATTATCTGCATATCTGATTATATAAAAAGCCTCAAAAACTGTAAAATGTAATAATTATTAGAAATACATAAAATAACTCTGTTCATTAACTTGACAGCTTTAAACACAACTGAAAAAGTTACAGTTTTTACACTCAGCATTTGAAACAGCTCAAGAACATCTGTGACAAAATCAAGTGGAACACATTTCAATAATAATATGAATTTTATAGTGGGTGTACTTAAATAACTAAACTACAATGATTTATGATATTAATCATATCTGGACTCACAGAGCCTTTCTGCAGTTCCTCACAGCTGGAATCAGTCTCCGTCGTCCCTCCTCTGATGTGTTGTACTTCTGCAGGTCCAACTCATCCAGAACCTCCTCTGACATCTGCAGCATGTAGGCCAGAGCTGAGCAGTGGATCTCAGAGAGTTTCTTCTCTGAACTGTTCTCTGACTTAAGGAACTCTTGGATCTCCTGATGTACTGAGTGGTCGTTCATCTCCAGCAGACAGTGGAAGATGTTGATGCTTCTGTCAGGAGAGATCTCATCACTGCTCATCTTCTTCAGGTTTTTGATGGCTCTCTGGATGATTTCTGGACTGTTGTCTGTCCGACCCAGCAGGCCTCCCAATAGTCTCTGGTTGGACTCAAGAGAAAGGCCATGAAGGAAGCGGACAAACAGGTCCAGGTGACCATTTTCACTTTGGAGGGATTTCTCCATGGCTTTCTTCAGGAAGACATCCAGGGATCTGTATTTATCCCCGCCTTTCCCCAGGAAATGCACCAGGTATCTGTCATTATCTTGGTCTTTCCCCAGGAAGTCCTCCAGTACCTCTGTCTTCCTGTTGGTGAAACAGTGGAACATGTAGACTGCAGCCAGAAACTCCTGAATGCTCAGATGAACGAAGCAGTAGACTGTTTTCTGGAAGATCACAGACTCTCTTTTGAAGATTTGTGTACAAACTCCTGAGAACACCGAGGCCTCTGTGACATCAAGACCACAGCGCTCCAGGTCTTCTTGGTAGAACATGATGTTTCCTTTCTCCAGATGTTCAAATGCCAACCTCCCCAGCTTCAGAAGAACTTCTCTGTCAGCCTCCGTCAGCTCCTGTAGACTTGTCTCATGTCCCTCATCATACTTCTGCTTCTTCCTCTTTGTCTGAACCAGCAGGAAGTGTGAGTACAGGTCAGTCAGGGTCTTGGGCAGCTCTCCTCTCTGCTCTGTAGTCAACATGTGATCCAGAACTGTAGCAGTGATCCAGCAGAAGACTGGGATTAGACACATGATGTGGAGGCTCCTGGATGTCTTGATGTGGGAGATCATTCTGCTGGACAGCTCTTCATCACTGACTCTCCTCCTGAAGTACTCCTCCTTCTGGGCGTCAGTGAAGCCTCGTACTTCTGTTACCCTGTCAACACATGCAGGAGGGATCTGATTGGCTGCTGCAGGTCTGGAAGTTATCCAGACGAGAGCCGAGGGAAGCAGATTCCCCTTGATGAGGTTTGTCAGCAGCACATTGACTGATGACTTCTGTGTGACATCAGTCACAACCTCATTGTTGTGGAAATCCAGAGACAGTCTGCTTTCATCCAGGCCATCAAAGATGAACAGAACTTTACAGACAGCGAGCTCCTCTGCTGTGACCTTCTGTAATGTTGGATGGAAAACATGGAGCAGAGTGAGAAGACTGTACTGCTCATCTTTGATCAAGTTCAGCTCCCTGAACGAAAGCAGAATCACCAGACTGATATCTTGGTTTTCCAAACCCTCGGCCCAGTCCAGAGTGAACTTATGCACTGAGAAGGTTTTTCCAATGCCAGCGACGCCATTCGTCAGAACGACTCTGATGTGTTTCTGTTGGTCAGGTAAGGCTTTATAGATTTCGTGACACTTGATTGGAGTGTCATGGAGGATCTTCTTCTTGGAAGCTGTCTCAAGCTGTGTCACCTCATGTTGGGTATTAACATCTTCACTCTGTCAATCTGTGATGTAGAGCTCAGTGTAGATCCTGTTGAGGAGGGTTTCACTTCCTGTTTCATCACTTCCTTCAGTCACATGTTCACATCTCCTCCTCAGACTGATCTTATGTTCATCTAAAACCTCCTGCAGACCACTATCTCCTGAAAGAGAAGGAACACTGTGAGACTAAAAGGAAAAGAGAAGCTGATGATTATTTTCATGACCAACATTAAATTAAAGCGTTTAAAATATAATGACTTTAATAACAATCTTTAATGTGGATGCTGTACAACACAACAAATAAGCCAAGAAGAATCCTGTGTTTAGACATGATCACATCAGAGGACAGATGTACAGTCTTACTTTGTACAGTGATGGTCTGACTGGCTGTCGGCAGTCCAGCTCTTGTTCTGCATCTTTTCCCACACTGAGGACAGGAGGAGTCTCCTGATGAAGCAGACTGGTCCCAGTATGATGTGATGCACTGTCTGCAGAACCAGTGTCCACAGCTGGTAGAGGCTGGATCCTTCAGGACGTCCTGACACAAGACACAGCAGGACGGCTGCTCCTCCCCAGAAACACAGCTCCTCTTCTTCTTCTCTCTGTGGAGATGAACACATTCTTTAGACCTCGTCCTGCCACCTCCTCTGGAAATACTTTGTTTTATTCACACATTTAATCACTGGCAGTTCAAATATCTCATGGTGGAGCTTCATGAAAACCTCCTGAGTAATGTTCTGGTGGTTTCACTTCTTTAGGTCAGTTTACAGTAGAAACAGTCTCTTACTTTGTGACTGAGGGTCCAGGTTCATTACTGAAGTCTGGAGGTACAAATTTACTTAGGTTACTCTTCATAGACAGACAGCTGGACACTGGAGACTCTGATCTCTGTCTGTGAAAACAACAAATGTTTTACACATATCATTAGACCTTGTAAAGAGCAGAGGTAACATTAACATGACACATGATCATGACACACAAAAAGCTGGTCCAAATGGCATATACTCGCGGTACCATCCACATATGCTCTCAGAGCCCGCACAGGGCATAACCGCTCAGACTGGTCGTCCTCTTCACCCTCTGGTGGGTCAAACCGCGCCAACTGGATCAGCCGATTGAGGTGCAAGCTCGACAAAACCTTAGGCAGGAATGCAGTATTCGGCCATAAGGTGACCCCTGAACATAAACTAGCCACCTGTATCATTACTAGAACCCCCTCCATAGATCACATCACTCCTGCAGCTTCACTGGCTTCCTGTTAAATATCGTATGGATTTCAAGATTTTGCTTCTCACCTTTAAAGCCCTTCATAACCCAGCCCCTCTGTATCTTTCTGAACTCCTTTATGTCTACACACACTCACATACTCTTAAATCCACCTCTGCACCTTCCCACGTGACTACCATGGGTTTGAGAGCCTTCAGCCATTCTGCCCCCCAGCTTTAAAGAGCCTTGTAATAGTAGGGGGTGGGGTCACTTGTTTTATGGTGTTTGTAGAATTTGATTGCTCTTTTTTGAATCCTAAATAAAAGGGGGGGAAATGAGTTCAGCTCGCTGTCCATTATTAGGGGTGTTCCTGTGGACTGTGAGTATACTCTTGAAAATCTCAGTGTGTGGGACTTCAACTGTGTGTTTGTCCCATTTTTCAAAGTCTTGATTTGCAAGAGGACCCCACACTTGTAATTTGTAATTTATTATTTGAGAGGGACAGTGCAAGTTAATGAACATCACCATACGTGTAAACATGCCCGATTGTAGCCATCTAGCTAATTTCCATCTGTTGTCCCTAGCACATGTTCTTCACTACAATACAGTAATGCGGGTTCGATTATAGATGTGAATGTTTAGAGCCAGATTCTAACAGGTATTTCTATGTTAGAAGACTTTTTATAGCATAGAAAGCTCTCATTCCCTTGTCTCTCAGATCATTAACGGCCAGATTGTAATTTCCTTTTAGGGTTATTCTTAGTCCCAAATATGTATAGCTGTGTCTGTGTTTTATGTCAGTCGAGCCCAGTAGGAACCTGATTGGGTTTCCCTGACACCTGGGTCACTTCTGGAAGACAATAATTCTAGTCTTTTTCAGATCAACCATCAGGGCCCAGGTCTGACTGAAGATCTGCAGTTGATCCAGTTGCTGTTGTAATGCTTTCTTAGACGGAGCTGACAATATTAGATCATCTGCAAAGAATTGGCATTTAATTCCTGTGTCAGAAAGGCTGAGACAAAGAACGTCTGACTGTTCTGGTGATGTTGCTAATTACACAATATAAATGTTAAACAGGGTGGGGCTGAGACTGCAGCCCTGTTTCACCTCTCTGTCTTGCACTAATAATTTCAACGGGTGTCTTCCGTCTTCTTCAGAAGCGTCACCAGATGTCAATGGTGGCATGCCTTATATCAGCTGATATTATGGAGGCGTAGTCACCCTGTAAAATTTAACAGGACAACCACGCCTCCAGCTGTCAGGTCGCTCCTCGAGGATGGCGCTCCTGGTATGTGACAGCATATATGCTCCCTCATCCCGGTTCATTGTCCTGCAGGCCCGCTTCCTTATCTCCACTGCCTCCATGATCCAGCGTTGGAAAGAAATATCTATAATCTATAATCTATATATAATATATGTTCAGATGACTCTGGCCTCCTCTTAGTTCATTATGTGGTTCTCTCTTTTGCAGTGATCAGAAATAGCTGAATTCAGGTTTTCTTGATCGGCTTTTTCTTTTTCCGATCTTGTGTGTCTTTTTTCTGTTTCTTTTTTGCATTCTTTCTGGTGTTCTTTTTTTCTTGTGTCAAAGCATCTGCCCATTTCCCCAATGTAAGTTGCATTGCAGGAGCTGCAAGGAATTTCGTAGATGACATTGCACCTATGGTCCGGTCGTATCTTGTCCTTCGGGTGTATGAGTAGCTGTCTTAGTTTGATGAGTGGTTTGATCCGCGTGTCAATATGATATTTTGCATTGGATGCGTTCTGTGATGCCTCTGATATATGGTAATGTGATGATAATCGTTTCCAACGCTGGATCATGGAGGCAGTGGAGATAAGGAAGCGGGCCCGCAGGATGATGAACCGGGGTGAGGGAGCACATATGCTGCCACATACCTGGAGTGCCGTCCTCGAGGAGCGTGGTCGTCCTGTTAAATTTCACAGGGCGACCACGCCTCTGTAACATCAGCTGATATAAGACATGTCATCTAGTGACACTTCTGAGGAAGACCAAAGACAACCATCGAAACATGTCAAGGTAAAACAAACCTTGTTAAATTTCAGACTCAGTTTCCTGCTGCAGTGAGAAACCTGCAGACTGTCTGTACACATTTACATTCTCCACAAATTTTGAGCCACTGGACAGGAAACTTTGAATTTGAACACTGAACACTTCTTCAGGTCAGTTTACAGTAGAAACAGTCTCTTACTTTGTGTCTGAGGGTACAGGTTCATTACTGAAGTCTGGAGGTACAAATTTACTTAGGTTACTCTTCAAAGACAGACAGCTGGACCCGGGGGACTCTGCTCTCTCTCTGTGGAAACAACAAATGTTTTACACATATCATTAGACCTTGTAAAGAGCAGAGGTAACATTAGCATGACACATGATCAAGATTTGTTTATTGAGTTCTGTTTATTATTATTGTGCAGTCATGCTTTGTATAATGGCAACAAAGCTGAACTTTGTACCTTGAACCAGTGTTGTCCAGGTGTCAGATTCTGCAGCTACAGCTGTTATTACATCACTGTACTCTACTGAGTTTCTTTACACTACTCTACTCTTAACTATAATGTCCTATGCTTCTTTATTCTATTGACTTACTTTACTGTACTCTGCTGTGCTGTATACATATTCTGCGTGTGCAGCTTGAATGAAATTCACCCTGCTATTTTTTACTGTATAATGGCAATGAAGCTGAACCAGTGTTTGGATCTAGAAGCACTGAGGTGTGTCAGATTCAGCAGCTACAGCTGTTATTACAATGTGTCAGATACACATTTAATCCATATTTAGATAAATATAAGTATCAGGTCAGACTCTGTATCAGTAGATACACAAATTTAAAGGACTCTGATCCCCAGTGAGTGACTACAACACCTCATGTCATTATAAAAACACAGTGTTGTAGTTTACAGTAGAAACAGTCTCTTACTTTGTGTCTGAGGGTCCAGGTTCATTACTGAAGTCTGGAGGTGCAAATTTACTTAGGTCACTCTTCAAAGACAGACAGCTGGACACAGGCAACTCTGATCTGTCCCCCTCTTCCTCCAAATCACTCATCTTCTCAAATCTGAGAGGTAAACCAGTGACACTGAACACACACACACACACACACACACACACACACACACAGCATAATGAAGTCAGTACATTACCCATACAGTCAGTAACTTGTTATTGACAGGACACTGATTACATACTGGGTGGGTATTTTCCTGACACTATAACAGACTAATCAGAATAAACATTAGCAGATGAATCAATAATGATTATTATCATTATTTGCAGGTCTAGTATTAACACTCACCCTGACTCAGACGACCTGTATTCCTCTGACTGCTCCATCGAGTTTTAAATGGAGTCTGGGACAATATGACTAAGTTTCACTTTCAGTGTTCCTCCAGTTTAAACCTCCTCCCATTTTATTTAGAGGAAACTGTTAAGTCGCCAACACTTTGACTCGAGACTCGTCCTCAAAAGACCCATGAACGATCTTCATTATTAGTATTATTATTATTTTGGCCATAAATGACATAAAAGCGACAGCAGTCAGTCAGGGCGGTGCCTCTCTTCTGTGTCGCTGCCTGTTTGGAGGAGGGCAGGGCTACAACCCTTCCTCCTGCATCCTCCTCCATCTTATAGACTCTACACACACTGCCATCTAGTGGTCAAAAGTTATAGTCTGTGCACACAATACATGGACAACTTTTTCCCACAGAAAAATAGATACACACATACTAAATGGCCCCTACACTCTGTGTGGAGTGTGGCTCCTCCTTGGGCCTTTCCATTTGCTTGTTTTGTGCAGAGTGTGTGAGTCAGTCAGAGTTAGCTAGCTTTTGTATTTATTTCTGTAGAAACTCTGAGTCTATCCTTGATTTGTAGATTGCACTGTAAATGTCTGTGTTAAGATAGCTACTAGCTGTGCACCACATGGCCATCACTAAGAATATGTGTATATGTCTGTATGTCACAATTCCCCTGAGCTGATTGGAGGGTTATTCAGATCACCTGCTGTGCAGGGTGTGGGGACTGACTCCTAAATAAGAATTGAGAGCGGCTTGGTGCATTTCCCCTCTGGTGTCTTGGCCCTTTCGGACTTCTTTGCCATCTTTTGATTTTCTGGTTGAGGGTGATTTTGAGCTTTCTGAAACCTCAGTGGAGGAAATATTAAGACCACCTTTCCACTAGTCTGCCTGCATCAGGGCAGAGCTTAGTGAAAGAGTTTTAGCTTGTCTAATGATAACCCAACAATTTGTTCATGGGTCGATTTCATTATCAGTGAAACATTTTTCATTGTGAAGGCACTTTATTTCTCCAGCTAAATATTATCTATATTATGTGGTAGGGAACTGGTTGCCAGGCTTCTTCCTGATCAGCTGAAATCTGGGGAATCAGTCCCGCCACAAAAAATGTTAAAAGCATCAAAATCAGGCTTCAAAACCCACTATGTCATTTGTGTTTTACTGCAGAATGTAAATGTAATGAATGTAACACCTATTAAGATTATTAAAACCCCATACTCCAAGAAACACTTTAGAAAGCATGACCTTGGTGTCCTCAAAGGTAGCTATATCCCTAACAGAATGTCTTATAAATATGTATTGCCTTTCCTCTGAAGGTTCTCAGGCTCAGAAGTCTTTAGGCTGGAATGATGCCTTCCAGAAGGCTCAAAATGGAGCTGCAGCTGAGCCACAAATACACTTGCCACTTAGGCAAAACACTAACTTCCTGACTAAATCAAATCAAATTTATTTATAAAGCACATTTAAAACAACAGCCGTTGAACCAAAGTGCTGAACAATCATGAGCATAAAAGCAACACAATAAAATAAATGAAAAGAAGCACAAACAGATAACACAGACAGAAATGCCAAACTCTCATACAGAGTTAAAAGCCAAAGAATAAAAATGTGTTTTAAGACGTGATTTAAAAACTGGCAGTGAGGGGGACAGTCTGACATGCAGGGGCAGCTCGTTCCAGAGTTTGGGGGCTGCAGCTGAAAAGACCCGGTCTCCCCTTTGCTTTAGCCTAGATCTGGACACAACTAAAAGCGACTGGTCAGCAGACCTGAGGGCACATGGAGGTGCATGTGCCACTAAAAGATCAGATAAATAAATGGGGGCTAGCTCATGTAAAGATTTATAAACGAAAGTTAAAATTTTAAAATCAATTCTAAAAAGTACAGGGAGCCAGTGAAGGGAGGCCAGTACAGGAGAAATGTGCTCTCTCTTGCCTCTTCCGCTTAAAAGGCGAGCTGCAGCATTTTCAACCTGCTGCAGTTGTGAAAGGGAGTTCTGGTTAATCCCAACATAAAGGGCATTGCAATAATCCAGACGGGTAGAAATAAAAGCATGGATGAGTCTTTAAAAAAGTCATTAAAAGAGAGGCAGGACTTAACCATAGATAAAAACCTCAGTTGATAAAAGCTGGATTTGACGACTGAATTTATGCGTTTATCCAAATTAAAACCACTGTCCACTGACGGATGATTTTACATATGGACTTACATTGCTCAGGTCCATATTGGGACCAACACAGGCACTACTGGGTCCAAATATCATAATCTCTGTCTTTTCTTCATTAAAACTTAAAAAATGTAAGGCCATCCAGCAGTGGCAGGAGGGTGCCATTTTGTTTCAAAGGCAGATAAATTTGTGTGTCATCTGCATAAAAATGAAATGCAATGCCATGTTTTCTCAGAATTGAACCCAGGGGGAGCATATATGGGAAAAAGAGGATAGGCCCAAACTAAACTTAAGTCACATGCAGCCTGTACGAGGTGTTGAAACTACAATATCAACTAGACGTTGGAGGAAAATGAGTCAGTTGATGATGCTTTAAGTGGTTAATAGTCAAAATTACTGAATATTAAAGTTTTCATTTAAAGCTGCCATCAGACTGTACAACAGACACTGACTTTGTTTTGCTTCCTTAAACCTTATTAATCTGCACCTTTACTTTATTATCGACACAGTGAGATGCCTGACCTGCAGCAGCTGACTGTGAGCAGGTCTGAAGAGTCCTCTGGATTTAATGGATTCAGAAACATGTGGAATGACAACAGCATTGTTTTTAATCATTTTCCCTGTCATACATTCTTGTGTCAGCACAGTGGGTGCGGAGCCTCCAAGCATTCCTACGAGACAGCGCTGAGCAGGTTTTTTTCATGCAGCAAAGTGAGACGGTCATTGGATAAATGCAAAATCGTCACTTCCAGGGAGGCTCAGCTTCCCTGGGACCTAATGGAGCGGTAGGCGGAAGAGGACGCTCGGTGTCTGCATGATGATTGGAGGAATTGTCTAAAAGGCTGACCCCTTTGTGATTGACAGTGCTTTGGAAATACACACCAGTATCGTCATATTTTGAGTTGAGTCCCATGTGGATATTTGTGAGTGGAGTCTTCTGACAGAGTGCTGTCCAGAGTTCCTTATTTCCATAAGCAATATAGCTCATTTTCACCGTTTCTAAACCCATCTGAAATCTTTGAGGTGTGTTTTGCTGTGGTTCTGTGGCATGAGTGTGGATGAAAAACTGCTTCAATGAAATGCTCCTTTTATAAGTTACTGCCTCGCTACAATATGACAAATTTTATGATGTAAACTTAAAGTGCGCTTCCCGTTTGAAAGACCAGCAGCCGCCACTGGGCTCCAAGAGACTTTTTTGTACGTCTGGACATGAAATGTGTGCATACCAAATCACATACTTGTAAGTGCAACGTACTGTGGAGGCTATTTCGTCGAAGTTTTGTAGGGGTTGCTACGGAGCTATTTTTTGAAATTTTTCACGATTTCTGGTGTGAGTACCAAGTTTTGCGACTTTTCCAGCACTTTTAGCCGCTTGAAAATGCGATTCAGTTGAGAAAAATAATTCCTTCTGTTTTAGTAAGGTCCTCGCACCATTCGCTTCTCAGGCCCTAAATATCAACTGTGCCAAGTACAATTTCTAGAGGCAAAGAAAAGCACCACACATTTGGCTAGATTTATGAAGAACAGTTTATTGTAGAGTTCAGTGACACATTGGACCACCACCATCCTGACATATAACCCCATTTAAACAAAATCTCATGACAAAAGGGAGAATTCTTTCAGTGACAGAAGTATTTTGGTACAGCAGGTAGGTTACTGACATTTCACCGGTACTTGCACCGCACTGCCCACTTGCACGGCGGTCACCTCAACATTTACCACAGTTTAACATCCATCACAGCCACAGGGGATGACTGGCTTTGTCGAATCAGCTTAGCGTGAGCAAAACAAATTTACCACAACCTTAAACATGGGATTAAAAACACAGATGTTTGAAAGCCTCTGTAAATTACTGTGAGATGCCCTCCTGTCGCTTATATTGCTTGCATGACAAAAAGAGTGCTCATTAATAAAAGGCAATACCCTGCACAGAATGAATCATATGTACAGTGTGAAACTGTGAAGAGAACGTTCGTTAAAATCACAGAAATATTAACCTTTATCCAATTCAAGATCATATTTTTGAATCAGTGTATCCTGCTGGCCATCACAGGACTTCAAACTAAAATAGCATACTGCAAATGACACTTGCAAAAGTACAACTTCTGTTATGTAATAAATAAACTTGTCACTATTATGAACTAATTCAAAAGCTTGTTTCACTAAAACACTATTAAAAATGAGTCACTAGTAATATATGATTATTAGGCTGACATTTAACAGCACCTTTCAACGGTAACATTACAGCACAGAGTGTACTGTATCATAATACCTTATACATGTGTTTGCAGGAATGGACATACAGGTACATTTGACTTCAGTACAGTCTTAAAGCCACTGTTACCCTGCCATACCATGCATAGTGCACAGGATCAATGCCCCATAAAAAACCTCATTAGGGCATTAAAGTGTGGTGACTACTCACTCACTTCAAATGTATGACGTCTAACTACTTGAATGTGAATAACTAACTCACAGCAGCCGAGTTGTAACTACGTGTGATTTTCGGTGACTGGTGAAATTTTTTTTATTTAACTATTCCCAAAGGAACTAATTCAACTACAAGCTTGTCATTTGATTTCCTTCGTGAATATCATAAGTGGCCCCTTTGTGTTTGCAATTTGACAAGCAGATGTTTGACAATTTAATTGGGAAAAGCACTACTGCTGATAACTGCTGAAAATTAACAACCCATGGAGTCCTTTATGCGAATATATCAAATCAGATATTATATCTGACTTATTATTCCCTTTTCTTCTTCATGATATTTGATCATTATTGATGCTCAAATGTCGTCTGCATGTTTTAAAGTGGAAACAGACAAGTTTTTTGCTTTAATTTAATGTTGATTGCATCATGTAACAGCTAAAGAAAAAAATTAAGCCTTGGTTCCCTTTCAGCCTTGCTTTCACAAGTCTTGCATAGCCAGATCTCCACAGCGCTATGTCAGTCTTATTTTTTTCAGCTATAAGGGAGGAAAAAAACTCTCAGGCTTGTTTTTGTTTCTTTAAACCAATCACAGTCATCTTGGGTGGAGCTTACCCCAGGATGCATCGACCGTTTTCTTGCAAAATCATCAGGGTGAACTTGTTTTGGTGGAATATTTGCACGTGGGGGGATGAGGACTGTCTATAAAATGGCCCCGTAAAAGAAAACACCACAAAAAACATTAACAGTCGTATGTTACTGTGTGACTGAATGTTTAGTCATAAAAAAGACAAACATAATTTGATTTTCGGAGCCCCAGAGGTGAAGCCTGACTATACTTAAGCTGGTCTATGCTCGCCATAGCATCCCCAGCATGAGCTTTGTGCACCATAAATGAAATGATTGCCCCTTTTGTTTCAAGTGCAAAGGCTATGAAAGTTGTTTCGTCTCTTGTTTGAGCAGCAAAAACTAGGCGCCCACTACGGGCACTGCAATTTTTCAGTTCAACAGTGACCCATTCAAGGGAAAACTGGCCGAGCAGGTTTGCCCGTACAGGCTTCTCTATAACTGTTCATTGAGAGGCCACAGGGATAGTCACTTGACCTTCAATTCTTGGATAGAAATAGCCACCACACTGGGGAGAGAAGAGTACTTTGCTGCTGGCTTATAATGAGGGATCACTATAAAAGCAGACCCCCTCGGAAACAAAGCTGTACAAAATAATTTTGACTTTGAGATAAGCAACAATTGGAATTATAGTACACAACTGCAATGTTTGACAGTACGTCTGTGTTTACTACTGTTGTCAGGCAGTGTACTTTTCTGGTACACTCGTTGATTTCTTGCTTATCTAAGAATATTGTGTTTTGTCTGTTTGTAGCTTGCAAGCCATCTCTGGAGGCCCGCACCACAGGATCGCGCTTTTCAAAGCTGAAGGCTCCATTTATGGCACAAAAGAAGTGTATGAACCATTGTGCAACCCAAAGAGGACGAGGATAGCACCCAGTAGCTATTGGTTGCTATCCCCAATTACCAAAGAGCATTGGTGTCAGTTCTTTGCAGTTACAATCCCCAGTAGTGGAAATGATGGGCAGCGGAGCATCCGAGGTAAGTGTGAAAAAGACAGACTGCCCCGTTGCTCAGCTCTGAGGTAAATGCAAAGCAATGTGGCTGTCTTTGCATCTCTGGTGCCAACAAAAACACCACTTAAAAAAGCTAAGAGTTGTCTGTTTCCACTTTAAAGAAAAACACTAATACCTTTATCTTTTATTACTCATTGTAAAGTAACTGTTAAAGGAAATATGATCTCATTAAAATGTTATTTTCATGAGGTGGATTGCTCACTGAAAGGAGGCATGACTGAAATCCTCCAAATACACAAGTTAAAGAAGAAAATTCTTACTCACTAGCTAATACATTTGGGTGTGGTAAACACTCAAAGAAAGTAACAGTTAGACAGTTAGAGATTTGAGGAAATATGCTTGTTTGTTATTTTGCCCGGTGTCAAGGTTTGATATTAATGTCATCTCTGTGTATCCTGTTCAGAAATAGGCAGGGACGTGTTTAGCTTAGCTTAATGCTAAGGCAGAAAGCAAGAGGATACAGCTAGATTAGCTCTAGCAAAGTGAACAAAAATTGACAACAATAAATGTGTCTTATGTATACAGGGCCTACGATTAATAAAGACGCTATGAAACAGAAAAGTTTTACATTTTTTTCACCATCAACTGCTTTGTGACTTGCAGCGTCTCAAAAGTCCCATCCCAAGTACAGATGCACTGGTGATTAGCTTGCAGGTTAACAAGATGAGACTATACTGGTTTCATTCATGATGTCAACGTCCTGTCTGTTGTTGCTACGCAACTTTGACGCGGGGACCAATAGGAGTGTCAACCAAAACAGACTCTGATGGCCCAAGTCAAATCACATTTATGTCTGCTCTACCCATTTAATAACAGGTGAGAATAATAAACAAATCTAACACCAGTGAGTCATATCATAATGGTGTAATAGTTACACCCTGAGCCTGTGTGTTTGGTCTCACATTTTGGTGGTCATTATAAGCCCAGGCATGGCCCGTTAAAAAATACTTTATTCATACTCGTACTTCAGTCATCTTATTAAGCTAGCACAAAGGTTGTGGTATCACGTCAGATAACCAAAGGCATGAATCAAGGCCAATCGCAGTGAGTTTTCTTTCCCATTTTTCCTTAAAATCACCCAATGAAGGACTTTAATCCCTCAGTATTCTTCAATACAAATGTAACTCAAGGTTGCGAAACTGACCAGAAAGAATAAGAAACTAAAGCTCACTCAAGATTATGCAGCATGCAGACCACAGAATACACACCTCCTTTTCCCCAAGCAAAGATGATGGCGGTGTCACGACGTCAAGTTTTTAGCCATAGTTTTTAACTTGCTAGCCATACCTTGGCTAGCCATTTCTATTTACCTTATTCCCTATATGTAATATCTCTGTACAAGATGCATAAAGATGACACTTCATATCAGTTTGCCAGGTTAAGATGACTAACAAGTGAATTTCCCCAAACCCTTTAAGAATGAAGAACACATGAGTCTGTTCACTGGGATGATACAGTTATTCTGAATGGCTTAAAACATGGTGTAAAAAGCCATGAGCACTGCTTTAGCCATTGCAGCTTCCCATTCTTTCCTGGAGTCACTGAGGCACTACTTCCTTCAAAGATGCCAGGGCTGAATGAATGCGGACATGAAGCCTGTTCTCAAAGTCGTAGCCTGTAAAATCCTCCTAAAACATGAGATTAGACTAGATTAGACTAGATTGTGATAGATAGACAGACAGGTAGATAGGCGAGTTGGGTAGGAAGGGTAGGTACTGTAGGTAGGTTATGGTCAGGTAGGTAGGTTATGGTAGATCGGTAGTTATGTGGGTAAGGTACTTGGGTAGGGCAGGTAGATCAGGTAGGTAGGTAAGTGAGACGTTAGGTAGGGTATGTAGGTAGGTAGGTAAGTGGGTATGGTAGGTAGGTAGGTTAGGGTAGATAAATTAGGTAGGTTACAGTAGACAAATTTGGTAGGTTAGGGTAGGCAGGCAGGTAGGTAGGTAGGTAGGTAGTTGGGTAGGATTGGTAGGTCAGGGTGGATAGGTTAGTTGGATAGGTATGTAGTTAGGGTAGGTAGATTAGGTAGGTAGGTAAGTGGGAGGGGTAGGTAGCTTAAGGTTTATAGATTAGGTAGGTTAGGGTAGATAGGTTAGGTAGGTTAGGGTAGATAAATTTGGTAGGTTATGGTAGACAGGTAGGTAGGTAGGTAGGTAGGTAGGTTGGATAGGTAAGATATGTATATAGGGTAGATAGGCCAGGGTGGAATTGTTAGTTAGGTAGGTAAGGTATATAGATAGGGTAGGTAGATTAGGTAGGAAGGTAAGTGGGAGGGATAGGTAGGTAGGTTAAGGTTAAAAGATTAGCTAGGTTAGGGTAGATAGGTTAGTTAGGTAGGTAGGGTAGGTAGGTAGGTAAGTAGGAAGGGTAGGTAGGGTATGCTGGTAGGTAGGTAGGTTAGAGTAGATAGATTAGGTAGGTTAGGGTAGATAGGTAGGGTTAGGTAGGTAAGTAGGTGGGTAGGGTTGGAAGGCCAAGGTAGATTGGTGGGAGGGGTAGGTAGGTAGGTTAAGGTTAATAGATTCGGTAGGTTAAGGTCAATAGGTTAGGTAGGTAGGTAGGTAGGTAGATGTTATGCATCACTATACATTATCTGGTAAATTAAACATAATTATAATTTAGTCGATTGCTTCATCAATATTTTACCTTTGCTTGAAGTAGCAATGATCTCCCTTTTCCCAGAGTCTGGATTGCAACATAAAAAGGTCCAGGTTATGACTGAGCATGTGATCACATCAGGACCATCCAAATACAGATGTGAATTAATCAAAATGTGAATGCTGCGTGCGGCAGACTTACCTCCTGTTTTGCAAGAAGTATACATCCAAGCTCATAGACAGCATACGGCTGAACGTACGAGTTGATCTGCCGTCCGTACTCATCTCTAGCAGCCAGCTGGAATGACTGGATCACAGATAAAAATGGACAGGCGAGCAGCTGAGTAACATTCAAAGTGTATATCAACTGCAAATACATGTGTAGATGTAGACTTGATACCTGAATAGCATCTCTCATATTTCCATGACATTTGTGAACAGCACCAAGAAGTAGGTGTTTCAGGCCTCTGCACGAAGCCTCATCTAAACTCTGTAACACTGAACAGACATCAAGAGGGAATTATCACACAGGGTATATTCTTAGAAATCCGGCTGCGGCTAACTCATGTTGCGATGAATCATGAAGGTTACAGTCACCCTGATTCATTATCTGCAGTTTAGATGACGAGCAGTTTGGGAGCGCTTTCCACAGATACAGCACTTCAATGACACCGAGGATGCATAGCTCTCTGGTGGGCGAGATCTTTCTCAATCTCTCAGCCTGCAGACGGGAATCAGAAGGAGGAGTGAAACTTTTGTGACACTCTTGTGATGACTTTTGAAAGAGAAAAAGAGAGAAAATCTGCAGCAAAACTCACCCTTTTGACAGCAAACTGCTCTATCTGGTTGTTTTTTCTCTTAAACAGCTTCTGCACATCTTTGAAAACTCCACTTGCTCCATCCAGGTCACCTGCAGCACCCTGACACACTGGAAAAACACAAAAGCCATACAGAAAACAGAGTAGACAGTTCTCAGCGGACAATGTATCCTCATACAACAGTTGGTATGATAGGCTACAAAAATGCACACACAACATTTCGTATGATATCCTACGAATTAGCTGCCCATGAATGACGTTATGTCTGCATAGAGTTATGTAATTAACATAAAGTTTAAGCAAGCAAGGTTACTGTGGTGTCACAGTGGGCACTTTTTACCTGCCATACATGCCATCTTCTCAGCTTATTCAGTACTTTTCCACTCACCACACCTACCTGCCAGCCTACTGCGTGCTCACACATTTCCTGCTCGTGACACTTTTGTGTGTGCGCCGCTTGTCTGACATCTGCCTGCTACCTCACAGTGCCTACCTATGTGTGCGTCTGGCCAAGAGCTGTGTACTGATTCAGTTTTCCTGAAAGTTCTGAACTTCGACACTGACTCGCTCAGCTGCTTCACCAGCCTGCTCCCCCTGTACTTGTCTAAGTGGTGCATTGAAGCTCAATGTAAACTGTTCTGCATGACTACTGTGCTGCTTCACTCACCTGTTACATGTGGTTAGGTTTAGGAATAGAAACATGGTGATGACATACCTTAAAATGACTCACAACTGACTCAAAGTTCAATCAGTTTCAAGCACCAGTCTCCTGGTAAAAGTCATGTGATTTGTGACCCACCCACCACTCCAACCTGCCTCCTAACTGAGCCACTCGTGACCGCTTCACTCTTTACTCCCGTCAGTGAATTGGTCACGCAATAGCAGCCTTCCAAAATACATGGGTTATGCACAAATTACTAGCTCATCATTACATGGGATATGTACCAATTATGGTGCATTACTTTTTGTAGGAAAACATACAAACAGTGCATGAGAACAGCCTGCAGCAGAGTTAGCATGTGTTAATGTGTGACAGACTTACCTCCGGTCAAGTAGGCATAGTAGCACTGTGACCAACGCGACTCGTTCTTCAGCCTTTCAAATGACCTGTATGCATCTTCAAAATTCATCTCTATCATGCTACACCAACCTGAAACAAGGAGAGTAAAATGAATCCCTCCCTGTGCCGCACACAATGTGCCAGTATGTCCCGACTAACCTGATGAGCAAACACGTACCAATCTCATAGAGACACACATGCTGGATCTCTCTTTGGTCTGATGCAAGCTCTAATGCATCATGGAAACAGGCCAAAGCACTGTTGATATGGCACTGGGGACAGAGGAGAGAGCACACACCGACAGGTAACGGTAGATCTGTTAGACACACACTGCATGCATGTGTTGAAAGACAGAGTTAGATAAACAGATGGTGGATCAGATGGTGGTGAGTTCATGAACCATCTGACATGCATTCTTATTAACATAGGCGTAGATTTCAGGGAACAAATATAAACACATTTAAGTACAAGAGGACTTTCATTTTGATTTTTTTTTCAACCATAGATTAATGCAGATAAAGCCACAAATTGCTGCAGAAAAATGTACTAGAATGCTGGATATTAAGTCTGTGACTCAAACGCCTTTCCAGTGGGCCCCTGCCCCCATGTTGAAACAAAACCTACGCCCTTACTTAATATGTGTACTTGAGCAGCAACTGCTGTATCAGCTGATGGAAGATTTTTGTCAGATTCTACTGTAAAAAATTACGTCTATTTCCCACCTCATGTCTTTATCCGGCATTACAAACACAAATAATACACTGCTCAAAAAAATAAGGGAACAGTTAATGGTCAAGGTTTAACACCAAGTCAGTTAAACTTCAGGGATATCAGTCTGTCCATTTAGGAAGCACAAGTGATTGTCAATCAGTTTCAGCTGCTTTAGTGTAAATCAAAGTGACAATAGGTTCAATGGAGAGGCAAAAGCAAGACAACCCCCAAAAGGAAATGGTTTTACAGGTGGTGGCCACAGACAGTTGCTCTCTCTTTATCCTTCCTGACTGATTCTTCTCTAGTTTTTGTTCTGCTGGTGTCCTTGTCACTACTGGTGTCCTTGTCACTACTGGCAGCATGAGGTGGTACCTGCAGCCCAATCAGGTTGCACAGGTAGTCCACCTCCTCCAGGATGGCACATCCATACATGCGGTCACAAGAAGGTTTGCTGTGTTTTAAGAGCTTGGAGGAGGAACCAGAAGACCAGTCGTCACACGAGGAGAGCTGGATGGGGCCATAGAGGGGCATCAACCCAGCAGCAGGACCAGTATCTGCTCCTCTGTGTGAGGAGGAACAGGTGGAGCACTGCCAGAGCCCTACAGAATGACCTCCAGCAGGCTACTGGTGTGCATGTTTCTGACCAAACTGTCAGAAACCGACTCCACGAGGGTGGCATGAGGGTCCGACATCCTCTACTGGGACCTGTGCTCACAGCCCAGCACCGTGCAGCTTGACTGACATTCGCCAGAGAACACCTGAATTGGCAGGTCTGTCATTGGCGCTCTGTTCTCTTCACAGATGAGAGCAGATTCACAATGAGCACATGTGACAGGTGTGAAAGAGTCTGGAGGCACCGTGGTGAACGTTATGCTGCCTGTAACATCGTCCAGCATGACTGGTTTGGTGGTGGGTCAGTGATAGCAAACGATGCCCTGACTGCTGTTGGGTACCAGGATGAACTCCTCAGAGCGACTGTCAGATCTTTAGCTGGTGCAGTGGGCCCTGGGTTCCTCCTGGTGCAGGACAATGCCCGGCCTCATGTTGTTGTGTAGACAGTTCCTGGACAACAAAGGCATTGATGCCATTGACTGGCCCTCTCGTTCCCCTGACCTAAATCCAATTGAGCACCTATGGGACGATCGGTGCATTCAACGCCAAGTACTGCCAAAGACTGTCCAGGGGCTCATTGATGCCCTGATCCAGGTCTGGGAGGAGATCCCCCTGGACACCATCCACCAAGTCATCAGGAGCATGCCCAGATGATGTCAGGAGTGTATACAGGCAGGCGGGGGCTGTGCACAGTCACATTATTTAAATTGTGAGTTGATGTGATAAATTTCACACATGCTGAATCAGTCTGTGATAACAATGTTTTACTTTGGTTTCTGGTGTGATTTTAAATCCAGCCCTCAGCGGGTTGATGATTTTGGTTTCTATTGACCGTTGTTGCGTCATTTTGTTTTCAATAATTTATAGATACATCAGTAAAGATTTTCAACTTGAAAAATTCATTCATCAAGATCTGATGTGTGATTTAAGGGTTCCCTTCATTTTTTGAGCAGTGTTATAGTCATAATAATAATAATAATAATAATAATAATAATGCCACTTTCAGCTTGTTAAAATTGGGCTTATTGTTAACACCACTGAGCCTGCTGTACATACCTCTAGCCTGTGAACCCGTCCTTTAAAGAACATGAAGAGGGATGAGTTGGGGTAAACCACTGACTTCCTCTGCAGAATAGCTTTGGCTTCAAGTAACCCCTCATGTGTGTCAGAGCCATCCAGTGCAAAGAAAGGCAGCACTACTGTGTGGTACCACAGGAGGGCCAACCTGAGCAACACAACAGGAGAATCACCTCAGTCAGTCTGAAACTTTAAATCTAAAGCTCAGTCAGAATCTGTATTCAACTGAAAATTTGTGACACAACAGTCCGCTGTTATGCTGTATATACTAATAATGACAGTACAGCATATATCTTTGTGTTTCACATGTGAAAAAAGGCATGGACATGTTGGTTTACATATTAATTCCATCAAAAGTTTAGTTAACAGTTTGCCAGATGAGGCCTAAAACCTTTATTGCCTAAGCTAAGCTAAAAATTTCCTTGACCTCGGAAACAGGAGGTGATGGAAGGTTAAAGGTCACAATAAATATGTGAACCAACATATCCATGCCCTCTTTTTACATGTGAAAGACAGACCTATCCTAATTGAAATATATTCTATACTGCAATTTTTAGTTTATAAGGCAGAGGTTGTCACAGGTCTACCTGGACCCTAGGGCCTGAGATCTGACCCAGGACCTGTACGGGTTTTGGTCCATGTTTTATTCTATTACTGGAGGTCATGGGTCTGGTTCTTATTATGTGTAATGCCCCAGTGGATCCGAGGAGAACCGTGACCAGTGCTGATCACAAGAGAAATGTAAAAGAACTGTGGCTAACTTGCTTGATGATTTGGCTACTGCCAGCCTGATCAGTGATAAATAAGTAAAGTAAAATGCAGAGCAACAACGGTTAGCAGTGGCATACACACACACAGGTTCTCACAGAGAAGCTCAGATTACAACACACACAGATGGAGCGTGACTTCATCTCTGCTCAGGACGTCATTACTCCACTATATCTTTACACAGTAAACAGTTGTTTGCTGCTATGGTAACGCTCTGAATATCATATAGAGCTCAGTTATAGCTGCTATAAGCGGTATTTTTTTATTTACAATCAATCAGATGACTGTGCTGTGAAAGGTGTCACTCACAGTGACAAACCCACAGATAATTATCACCCAACTCTGCACCAGTTACTGAAGGTTCACTAACCGGTGAAAACAAAGAAGCCTTAACACTACATCCTGGGAACTTTGTTGCTAGCTTGAGTCTTCTTGAAAATGTGGCTTACTAGAATATCACTTAAATTAGACAGACATGTGTATACTGGGAATATATTCCTTTTGACTCCAATAAAGTATGCTGATACTGCCCCTCCCATAACCCTCTGCAGAACATCATGTCTGGTAACCTCCTGCTTTCACTATGAGGCTGTATAGACGTCTTCATGCACCCAAAATGACGGACCTGAACCCTAACAGACCCCGGAAATTCCTTTCAAGTGTTGAAATTTCTCCAGAAGGAATTAATGCTGTGTTCAAATGGAACTCATGAGCTCGTGTTCACAACATGGGAAATCGTGTACATGATGACCTCAGAGAAAATTCCCACTTACGAGGTTGTGCGTACTACAACAGGAGGGTGTTCATATGGTCTGTTCTCGTGAACACGGTAAACATGACCCCATTTGAATGCAGCGTAACACCACTGGCTCTGTCAGCAGTGTTGCTGTTGTTAGCGCTGTTAGCTGCTAGCCACCTGCTCAGCCACCACCATGTTGAGAGCCGCGTGCAGACAATCTGAATCAGACTCAGAATCCCTGAATATCAAATAGAGCCCCTTTACAGTCTTAAATTTACCATAGTTGTACAGTTCATTTGACAACACAACATTAACTCTACCCCCCTACTCACGTAGCCAGTGGTGCCTTCATGTCCTTGCTCTCACTCGCATACATAAGGGAGGACAGACCCTGGAGACGGTCGCCAGGGAAACCCAGCAGGTTGATGATCTTTAGCAGGTGTGGCGGTACCATGGAAATGCACAGGTGGAAGAGGCCGTAGCCGAAGCTGACGGAACCCTTGAGCCGGTCCAGGGCCTCGGCTGTCACGCAGTTCTCCACTGGTGCGTTGTGGTTGGCATTGTCGGTCGAGAGGGACTCCTGGTGGACAGAGGACCTGCGCTGACAGGCCTCCTGCAGCTGGCTGATGTCACTGTGGCACTTATTGTACATTTTCCACGCCTTGCGTAGAATCCAGCCTCCTTTGATGTAAGCTGTTTGTGGAAAAAGATACTTTTAATGGGGTTTCCCATTGAAATGCTACAGTGGAAGTACAGACCATAATTTTCTATTAGTCTGTTGATTATGTTTATTAGCCCCACTAGTGTTGTGAGGATTTGCTGCTTTTCATTTCGATAATTTTGCTCCTAAATTAAATCAGTCTCATATTTCTGTCATGTTTTTTTTACATCTATCTATCAGTCTGTGGTCTACATGCAGACTAATTATGAGACAGACACACACCGCCATGATGACATAATACCTCAAGCGCTGGTTGCCATGAGAGACAGACATTTAAGGTCACACTCTGTGGGTTAGTTTTGATTACCTGAAAGTTCCTGCTTGACGAAGGAGAGCACGGCGAGGTACACCTGACAGTCGGCAACAATAATCTGTCTCTGTAGGCGGTCCACAACCACAACGCCTGACCTCTGGGAGTCCATCTGTAACACACACACACAACCACAAACACACACACATTCAGTATGCAGTATTAAACATCACCTGCAACTTCACCCAGAGGCTGGCAGCCAGAGTTTCCTGAATGATCCAGAGCTGAGACAGCCCCCACTCTGCTCACTCAGTTTGTTGATTACATTTCACAGAAGCACTAATTAAATCTGTGAGTGGGTTTGGCATGATCTCACTGCTGCTTGCATCATTAGGCCTGATGCCGAGGGTGGAAACACTGTTATCTGAACAGCAGCCTGTGCTGGCTGTGGTATTAGCAGACATCAGGAATCCTGGTTGTTCACACAAACTGCATGAAAAGTCTAAATCTGTGAACCGGTGCTCAACTTTGACAGTGGCACTGTTATCAGAGTTTAGTTTCACTGTGTTTTATCGCTGGATCGTGAGACAATGGGACAGTAGGCCCATTTTTATGCAACAGTCTGTGTAATATATAATTTCTAAACGTCCATAGTTTGGTACTCACACTTTTTTTAATCTTGTTTCTGATTGTCTCGATGACTCCAGCGCTGTCGCTCTCACACAGCTTCTCAGTGGTCCTCAGGTCGTCACAGGCCGTCTGCATCTTCTCCTCCTCAAATGTCATCATGGCGTTCTGCAATGCAACATTAAAAACATTTTGTTCATTATATATCTTAAAAACGCTGTGATTAATTGCTTTAATATTCTAATATCTTATTGTCGTGTTTCACAGAGATCCATCCTTGAGCCAGCACACAAACAGAAACATCTTGTAACAAGATGGAAGGAGTGTTATGTAATGATCCTAGAAAGGACAAAGGGCTCTCTCTGCATAACACTGGTGACGGCGCCTCAGCTCGCTGTCCTCTGCTTGTTTCCTTTGCTGTTGTGTTTTTTGTCTCTGGGACTGCAGACTGAAATCAGCGGCAGCAGCCAGTCTATGATCAGATGTCCTGAACACACACACACACCTCTGCACTTTTGGTTTTTGCTCCTGTTTTTTTTTTTCTTCTTACAGCTCAACATCCTTACAGCACATTCTCACCCACTCGCCACATTACTGACTTCACAGATTTGTCCCATCTCTGTTTGCTTAGTTTTGCTTCTTTTTTTGTAAGTAAATAATTTTATGTGTTGGTTTACCTCTGTAGGAGCCAGGTGTAGTCTGGTCACTCATTATGATTGGGTCATGTGGTGTTGGAGACAGTGACAGGGGTATCACCTGTTCAACAGTTAGTTTGTGAATGGAAGGAGAGTGTATGATGGGGTAGCCTTATTTTTTGCTGACTCCTGTTTAACTATTGTTTTTTTTTTCTTGCAAAATAAAACTACAAACGCAGTCATCGAACCTGTGATTCACTCACAGCCTCAGGAAGGTTAGTCTTCCTTACTCAGCCTCCTGGCGGCTAGTAGCTATTTTCAGATAAACGCCTGTGACTCGTGTCTCTCTCATTTTTCGTCCTAAGAATGTCTCTGATCTGATGTTGTCTCGAATGAGTAGTAGTGATATTTTAGTGACATTTAGAGATGAAACTGCACATTCTGATATTTTCTTATACAACCAATGCATTTGTTCTCCATTGATGCTACATTTAAAGAAGAATTTCACCACAGGACAGACGATCTTTTCATAAAACTGGGCTGACTATGCAGTAGAAAGAACAGGGTGCAATGTGCCACACCGGACACATAAACACTGCCACTAGTACATAATGCACACTTGAATGTATAACACAGTGGCAGCCAGCTGGTAACAAACATTCTCGTGTACAGTTTAACAGTAAGCTAAAATATTTTTCCAGATTTGAGGCAAGAGAAAGGCAACACAGTAACAGAATCTTGGTTTGTATTTCATCAGCGCTGCCTAGTTTTAGTTTGAGATAGTGTTAGGGTACATTCACACCAGGATAGTCTCGGGGACTCAGTTTGATTGGGCGGGGAATGCCGAAAAATTTCACACCTTAATTTGGTTCGGTTCACTTTCACACTGCACTTTTTAAAGCGGGCTAAACCGCTTAGACAACGTCATGCAGTTACAACAGCTGCTCGTTTGGGGGCGCTATTGCCCGAAATGACCACTGACCAGGAAGTAAAAAAGCATGAGGAAGAAGAAAACCCGGCTTATCGATTGGCCAGGACCAAAAATGGAAATCCTTTGTGGGTAGCCACCAAGCAACTATATAACGATATATAGTCCTCTGACCATATATCACTGAGCTCCTGCACCTCCTCACTACTCCACATCTGCCAACAAGACATGTTCCAACTTTTTCTATTTTTTACCTCTGTTTCTCCCCGTTTGTGCTGTTGGCTTCGTTTTTTTCTACCCAAAATGCACTGCGCACTACGTCACTTCCTCTCTTTGGTTCACTTCCTCTCTTTTGCGCCAGGGTTCACTTGCAAGTGAACCGAGACCCCCAGGTTTCAAGCAGACCAGGGTTCACTTGTTTGATTTGAATTGATTTGATTTGATTTTTCCTATATTTTTCCTATTCACTTGTTTGGTCCGTACCAGAGTTCAAATGAGCGCTCACACCACTACAAATGAACCAAACTATCCATGGAAGCGGACCAGGGTTCGTTTAAAGCAGACCCAATAGCACCAGTGTGAATGCGTCCTTAGATATCAGTTTTTTCATCCTTAATTTTCAAGTAGGTATAACTGCAGCTGGAGCAGCTATGTGACCCTCCCTCTAGCTACATAACTCGCCCACCATACCTACACGTCAGTCCGTGATCAGCCCCCTTCACCCCTTCGCCTGGAAGCAGAGGTCCAAATGAAAGTTAGCAATTAGCTAGCTCGTAAGTATTACGTTAAAAGACAGGTGGTTAATGTTAGGATAGGGGGATTATTGCTACATTTGGTCTCTTTTATTCACTACAGTGTAGCTTTGTAGCAGGGTTCAGATAGCTGTTGTGTTGGTGGGTTTGTCTTGAACTAGTTGTGGGTATGATTTGTAGGGGTGTGTCGTGTACGCCACAAACGGAATGTGTCTGCAGCTATACATGTCTCACCATTTTCACTGTGTAGGAAACAGTATGGCGGCCACTTCTTGTTTACAAATTCTTGTATTACAGTCAAGAAGTGTTCAACCTCACAGCCAGTTCAAAATGTGTCATCCAGCGGTTTTGATCTAAGAGATGATATGATGGAGGGACGTTTACCACAGGTCATCTATACATTCTGCCCACATTGTTCTGATACAAAGCTGGTTGAAAATCAGACGAGTATCCCTTTAACTGTGCCTGTGCATGAAGGAATGCCCACCATGGTGCTCAGATGTCACCACCCCCACTGCCTTCAGGGCTATTTAGCATCTGGGGACAAAGGATGACATCATCTCTGGCTTCATGATATGTGTGTGTGTGTGTGTGTGTGTGTGTTCATCACACTGTGAGAAATCTCCTTCTCCATTAGCGATGGACGCAGCGTTACAGTAATGTGCTTCGCTGCAGGAGCATTGCTGTTCTTGAGAGGAACGATGCATCCATTATGTTAATGGATGGAAAAGCAGGAGAGAGGAAGCCAGTGGTGACAATGATAGAAACCAATTTAACAGACTGGGTTATTCCAAGTGATACTGGGTCGAGACATGTATTGGTAAGAAACAATATATTGAGTTACCATTCAATATATTATGATAACTGTATTACGATACTCTAAGCAAAGGGGATGCACTGCAATTTTTTGTATCAAATTGAAGGGAAACAACACCATACGCATAAAATCTGATCTGTATTTGTATTTATCAAAGTCTCTGAAGCACGCTAGCAATATGTTACACTGGAAAAACAGAGATAAATAGCTAAGGATAGATACCAGCAAGCAGTCAGGAGTTAAAACACAACACAAAAAGAACCACTGTCACAAATCTTTGCATGTAAACTACTGATTCAAAATCAATACAGTATCACAAAACATAATATCGCAAGTGTATCAATAGTTTCTTTCATCATTAATATTGGGTGCTTTCTTTATGAACTCTGATAGGCTTCAATCTCACTCTGCTCAGCACAATCTCTAAAAAAATGTTGGCATTGTACGTTTATGCAAACCCGTTACATTTGACGGGGGGGCTGGAGCCTATCCCATTTGACATTGGGTGAGTGGTGGGGTTCACCCTGGACAGGACACCAAGATGTGCGTCTTTTTTACTCCCTCTCAAAGCAGCAGTGTTAGACAACTTGGGAATGAGAACGGGTTGACAGCAGATACACTGAAACTTTACGTTTCAGCAATGCTGTGGTTAACGTGTATTTAGGTTTAGGCACAAAAACAACTTGGTTATGGTTAGGAAAAGATCATGTTTTGGCTTAAAATACCCAGTTTTGGGAGCTCAATCCTGGTTGGAAAAGCAGTGATGTCTCAGTAAAAACAACTGCTTTCCGTGCCACTATTCCCGCTGGAAAAACAGCAACTGGTCACTAAAAAACACCCATGACTGGGGGGCATAAAGGCGATGGAAACACTGTGATTACTTGCTAAAAAAAACACACCATTTTTCAGACATCATGCCTGGGTGTCACTTCATCCACTATTGCCTCCACCTCCTGACGACAAAGTCAGCTCATATACTACATCACTTTAGAAACTCAGATATAAAACATACAAATGTCACCTTGGTTTGCAGAAACGTACATGCCAACATTTTTTTCTGGCGACTGAGCTGATCTGCTGCTATATCAGTTATGAAATTATACTAACTACCGTTTTGCTATTTCTTCACACTAACTGTCCTCTGGCTTCTTCAACAAGCATTTTGACACCAACTGACAGGAAACTCACCAGGAAACTGACGAAGCTGGCCCCGAAGCTCATCAGTGGGCTCTGGGTCCTACACAGAGAACAGAAACAGTTGAATATTTTGTGGAAAACCTATAGCTTTGGCACACCTCTGTCTCAGCCAGCAGCCAGAAAGCCAAAGAGAATGAATCATATGCATCTCTGAATGGAGCTATGGATGGTAAATTCTCCAGCAGGCTGAGACAGAGCACGCACGGGAGCAGGTGCAGCCACCGTCCTGACGTCAGGAGTCATCATGTTAGTGTTCATCATGTTAAATGCAAAATGCCAAAAAGATATTTTCAAAAGTCTGTGTGACACCTGGTGGATTGATGGTAACAGATTCATGGCTTGTGTCCATGATTTAAATGTCATCTCTCTATTAGAAACACCAAATCAGAGGTGGTCTACAGGATGACAGGTGACAGATCCTCACATGATGAAGTAATTTATTGCTGTTATATATGTGCAGCAGTAACAGTACATGCTGTGCCTGAATTTCACTTTGGTGTTTTAAATGCTACTGCATGCAACATCCTGCAACACATTGATATGGAGATAAAGCAGAGAGCAATGACCTGTATCTCCTGAAGAGCTCGTCGCTCTCTTTGAATCCGTTGTTGAGCAGCATGTTGATCCCTTGCAGGGCCATCTCAGCATCATCTATGTGCTCTGCCTTCTCCTCTACCTGCTGCTGCTGCTGGGACTGCTCGGGACCCGCCATTGTTTATACTACAGCGCAGTGGCTGCTGGATGAGACCGGTGCGACGGAGAACAAAATCAGAACCTGTTTGTCCTCTGAAACAAACCCGCATTGGTTTATTTCCACTGATGGAGGAGACGGATTTAAACAGAGACTCGCCTCTGGTCGGCTAAAAAGGGAAAAAGAAAGACAAGGTTGTGCAGGTTCCGCAGGCTCCAGACGTCTGTGCGCCTCAGGGATAGGCCACTGATGCCCAGACGGGCTCAATCACACCGCACTCCGCACGGATTTACATTTATCATCGCTGTTGCCGACAGCAGACGTCTGCACGTTCAGTGTTTAATTGTCACTAAATCAGCCATCCGTCAGTTTTTCCCTGCTTCTTCCCGCCGTGCAGCAGCATCCGATGCATTACATAACGGAGATCCAGGCTGCTGTGTTGCTCTGACAGTCCCACGTAATGCACTCGTCAAACGGCCTGGCGTCATAACGCACCGCGCATCGCCGGGAGGACGGAGGGATGAGGCCCGCTGAGGCGAAGCTGCATCCTGTCAGCTTCCATCGCTCACGCTCCGGCCGTTAACCCGCCCTCTCCTCCAGCCGGCAGCCAATAAGCGCGCAGCCTGACCGCCTGCAGAGCGCAGACACACCGAGGACGCGCCGGTGAGCAGCATCACTGTTTGAAATAGGTTACCACTGCTCATCTGTCTGCAGGCTGCCATGCAACTATAGCACATTAACTCAAGTACTGCAGGACTTAAGTAGTCTATTATTTTGAGGTACTTGTACGTCACCTGAGTATTTGAATTTTCTGCTACTTCATACTTGTCCTGCGCCACCTGGCGGCACTTTTCACTCCACTACATTTATGTGATACTTTGTATTACTCGCCAGCAGAATAACAAATAAAATTCTGATGCATTATTATGAATAGCCTAAGTCCCATATAACACTGGAGGACAAAAAGATAACTAAGTAGGCCTATCATATATAAATGTATAAATTTATACAGGAATACACGAATAGATACGGAATAAATAATACAGGAGTAAATAAATAAATGGAAATAGATAAATAAGTGTGAAAAATAAATACAGAAATAAACTGATAAATACGGAATAAGTTAATAAATAGCCTACGTGTATAAAAATGCAAGAATAAATATATAAATACGGAAATATAAATAAATAAATGTATAAATATATACAGGGGTAAACAAATAAATAATTAAATAAATAAATGTATAAAAATACATAAATGACTGAATAAATAAATAAATAAATACGGAAATACATAAGCAAATTTAGAAATAATCACAGGAATAAATAACCACATAAATAAAATTAATTAATTTTAAGAAATACAGAAATTACTTAAAAATACGGAAATAAATAAATACATGTATGTATAAATAAAGGAATAAATAAATAAATAAGGAAAAAAATGGTTTTATTTTTAAAGTATAGAAATTAATAAATAAATTTGAAAATAATTAGGTTAATATATATATATAAATAAATAAATACGTCAATAAGGAAGTGAATACATTTATTTTAAAAAATGCAGGAATAAATAAATACAAAAATAAACAAATAAATGTATGAATATATTAATAAATACAGGAATAAATCAGTAATTCAATTTATAACCAGTACAGAAATGAATAAATACGTAAATAAATAAACGTATTCTAGATAAATAAGGAAATAAACAGAATAAAACAATGCTGAAATATATACAGAAATAAATAAATGCAGACATTAAAAAATATATATATGTTTGTAGTTTAGTTAATGAAGTTGAAGTGGATCATCAGCAAGATGGAGACTACTTAAAGCATGAATAATAAAAAGTCAGAATAACAGACCTGTTTTCAGCTGATCCAAAAGGGTTTTAAAGAGCTTATTTAGCAACAAATAAAGGAGCACTTCATCCTTCAAATTATCACAAATATTCAACATGAGCAATTCTGGAGATACGTAGTTTTCACTGGACAGGAATGGCATGAAACACTGTTTTCGACAGTAGAGAAGTATAAGGATGCATGAAAAGAAAATACTTAAGTGAAGTACAAGTATCTCAAATTTGTACTTAGAGCCGGGTCTCACTCCGAAGTTGTCAAAATCCAGCGCTTGGGCAGTGACTTGCAGCATCAGACACCAACGAAAAACGTTTAACGTCGGCATGACATGCGCCCAGTGGTGTAAGGGGGAAACGCGGTGGGACAAGGACGAAAGTTAAGGCGGCGAAAGTCCAACTTGAGTGGGCGAGTGGGGTGGTGGATGGGACCAACAAACACCGACTTTCACCCAGACAGAGATGTGTTCACATCCCATAAGATTCGAAAGCCAAACCCTGTCAAGTTGTGTCAACATAGTGCGTTTATTTTGAAAGAGACTGCATGTAATCATTAAATTTCCTGTGAAAACAGAAGTGTATTTTGAAAGAAGACAATGCATGTAACAGGCAGAACTTGACACGGTGTCCCAGAATGTCAATAGCCAATGCAAACCTTGCATGTCGTATGTGGACGTGGAAAGTCCATGACCAAATGTCAGTATGTGACGAGGTCGGAGTGAGAATGTATTGGTACTTAAGTACAGTACTTTAATAAATGTACTCAGTTACATTCCACCACTGCTGTCCGCACACTGTGTATTACAGCATCACAAACCAGCCAAAGTCGTCACATACCGCTGCTTTGTCAGTGATTTCTGTGTCAGACACCAACCACCAAAAGCCACTTTTCACAGCAGTACGATACGCTGCTGGGCAGAACTTTTGAGGTGTTATGATACGCCACCAGTCGGCTGGACGGCACCTGTCACAATGGAGGGGTTCAACCAACGCCAGACTTTCCAGGTGTTCACTTCTCATATGAATGCAGAGTCAAACTATTATGGGTTTTTTTCCCAGTCTAACCATGTGCTTTTGTAGATGTCTCTGCGTTGGTTGCAGTGTCCCCGAACATCAACAGCAGACGCAGGAGGACACCTAGCGCATAATATGTAGATGTGAAAGTCCACTGACAAAGCGGCGATATGTGACGACTTGGGATAAGTCAGGAATAAACCTCAAAGATGCCATTTGTTAGTATCTCTGTAAACTTCCTGCACACTGCAGCCATATCACCCTGTCCTCACTGTTCTTACACATTTCAATAGTCTCTGCTATGCGATCATATTCCTATCTTCATCTAATCAATACTCTAATGCACTTCTTTGTGAGCTGCTGTGCATGGTTGGATCTGAAATTCACCATGTCACACAGACAGCACGAGTCAACATGTTTATCCTTTGGACTGTTTAGCAGGGGGTGGTGCCAGAGCACTAGACTGGGCCACTGACCTGCATAGTTCACTGAGGCAGAGTTGGTGGACTGTACTGCACTCATTATATCAGTAAAGACAGACATGGAGCTTGGATCAGCGGTAAGTACAGTGAGGAGTAAGAGGGTACTGCTCGGTGACGAGATCCGTCCTGCTGTCATCGTAATTAAGGATGGAAAGATCCGTGAGATACTCCCAGACAGAGACTTTTCTGGAGCTGCTGCCTGTGAGGTAAGCTGGCACTCATTAGTATCTGTTTATGAGCTCATATGCATTGATTTAACACTCCTAATCGTCTATGTGCACTAAACCACGGTGTTGTGACCCGGCTGTGATGGCAGGTGCTGGATGTGGGCGACAGTGTGGTGATGCCAGGCGTTGTAGACTGCCATGTTCATGTGAATGAACCAGGCCGCACTTCCTGGGAGGGTTTCTGGACCGCCACCAGGGCTGCTGCGGCAGGAGGGGTGACAACCATCGTGGACATGCCGCTGTAAGTTGAAGAGTTTCCCCTCTCCAAATCAATCAAAACCCACTGTCTGACCTCACAAGGTCACAGGTAGAGGGTAAAGGTTGCAGCGTAAACAGAATGGGAGATAACTGTCCTCCCAGCCCAGTCACCAGAAGAAATGACATGCACATTTCTGCAAACCATGGATATGTTGCATTTGTATGTTTCATACATATATATGAGCTGACTGTCATTTTGAGGAGACGGTGGATGGTGTAACAAGTGAGATGGCTGCAAAGCTACTAGTGATGTGACGTTCGCGAACGAGCCAAGTCTTTGAACCGGCTCTTTAGAGTGAACGAGTCCTAATTTCTTTGTTTTTTGCTTTCATTTACTCTGTATCCATTAATTTCAGATTATTTGATCCGGAACAAGTCGAGAGAGACTAGTTTGGGAGGGAGAAAGACAGTGCAGCTGCTCACTTGTTCACTTCAAAGAGCCGGTTCAAAGATTCAGCTCGTTCACGAACATCACATCACTACTTGTTTATAAAGGCTGTTGCTATGGCTACACCAAACTTTATATCTGCTGAGTCTATTCTGGGTCCACATTACAATATCCGTGATGCGATAAATCACCAATGCGATTCGTCATTGAACCCAATAACACCCCCCCCCACACACACACACACACACAAAAAAAAAAAAAACAAAAAAAAAAAAAACGAACCTCATCTATAGATCACTGTTTGAGACCAACAAACAAAGATTATTAGCAACCCATCGCTCATTTCTAGCAGCGTTGGTGGCACATACGTTTGTTTTAAAGTGACCCCCTGCTGTGTTTCTACCAGGGATAGTGCCACAGAAAGTGGTTGTTATGCAAAAAGTTATTAAGTAATATCAACACAGTAGTCGCCGATATACTACGGATCTGAGAGTTAAGTTTTTGTGGATTTTTATGTTTGCACTTACAGTACATGGTAGTGGTTTTGACAAATGGGAAGTAATATTTTGGAGACATTAGATTTTAAATCACCCGCAGCGACGTTCTTTCTTCCCACAGAAATAGCGTCCCTCCAACTACCACTCTTGGAAATTTTCACGAGAAGCTGCAGGAGGCGACGGGGAAGTGTTTTGTGGACACGGCCTTCTGGGGAGGTGTGATTCCTGGCAATCAGGTACAGTGCAACAGCTTGGACGAAAATGAAAACATTCTCAGCCGGATGGTGCTGAATTACAGGCAAGCACAAACAACGGATGTTCTCCTTACAGCTGGAGCTTCGGCCCATGATCCAGGCAGGAGTGGCTGGCTTCAAGTGTTTCCTTATCCACAGTGGTGTGGAGGAATTCCCACATGTGACGGACGTTGATCTACACGCAGCCATGAAGCAGCTGCAAGGCACAGGAAGTGTCCTGCTGGTAACTCACCACCTGCAGCATCTTTGATAACACATCAAAAGTTTGAAGTCGTGAAACTGAAAAACCCTCTGCTGTGTCTCCTTTAGTTTCATGCAGAGAGGGATGTTCAGCCGACAACAGAAGAGAATGGAAGTAAAAATAATTTTACAGCGTACAACAAATCATCTGTTTGTTCCACCAGACTCCATTTAAACAAACAATAATTTTAGCGTGTACAGAGCCAGCATATTTTTACATCTTACTGGGCGAATAAGAGATTTATTTCAACCAAACCAGAGCTGGTGGTTGTTGGAACAGTGGAAAGATGAACCAAGAGGATTTTTGTGAGCTTCATTTTGTTTTATGTTGACAGTGAATTAAATGTGTTTTACGACGATAAAATTACTGTTTATTTAAATGGAGTTTGGTAGGATGGTTGATGGCAGTTTTGGGGCTGTTTCTGGTTTAATAAAAAGGATCTTACTCTATAACAAAGAAGTCTATCTCTGTAGGGATCCTTTCCATAAATTGTCAGTCACTTATAATACCAATCTGAGGCTTTCAGTGGCAAAAACAAGCTCTTTTGGTGGACATAAATTGATGTGTGAACCCGCCCAGAGTGGTTACGTTGCAGCCTGGCTGCTGCAGCTGGCTGCAGCACTCTCAATACTAGACCTGTTTTAAAGATTTTTGTTCTCATTAGTCACTAAGCCACAAAAACATGAGAAAATAGGTCCAGGTTGGAAAAAAAACAAACATATCCTTAAAGAAAATCAACTACAAATTTGTCATTATTGGTATTTCCTGCAGTATCTTTTGCACTCTTTCCCATGTTAGACCCTTGCCAGTACTCCACCTTCCTGCAGTCCAGACCAGACATCATGGAGATAGAGGCAATTCGCACCGTCACACAACTCTGCCTCCAGTACCAGTGAGACTCAGCATGGTGACAAATCACTATAACATCATAGTGGATCGTTCTGGTTGTAATTGTAGCGTAGATGCTACAGTGAGCTAACTCTCTCTCCTCCAGGGTGCGGTGCCACATAGTTCACTTATCCTCTGCAAAGCCACTGCAACTGATCCAGGAAGCACGGAAGGCCGGAGCGCCCTTGACAGTGGAGACCACCCACCACTACCTCAGCCTGTGTGCAGAGAACATACCTGCAGGGGCCACACAATTCAAGTGCTGCCCCCCCATCAGAGGAGCTGCTAACCAGGTGAACAGACGCTGAACGATGCTCAGTGGACTGACTATTTCCAGCGTGAGCCGAACAGTGTGGGCTGTACCTGCTTTATCATTCTTTGATCATAGTAGATGGTTGATTTTGTTGCCACAGGAGCAGTTATGGTCCGCTCTGAAAGCTGGGCAGATTGACATGGTGGTGTCCGATCATTCCCCCTGCACCCCTGATCTGAAGAAACTGCAGAACGGAGACTTCACTGAGGCTTGGGGAGGAATTTCATCTCTACAGTTTGGTAACTACAGACTAGTGACAAACATTTTTATTATTTTCTATCAAGTGGAGCAACAATTAAACTGTAATCCTAGCTCCATAAGTGCAAAACTCAATGCAACATAACATTACATGTTTATTTCAGTGACCTGGGGTCGTAATTTTACACCCTAAATCCATAAATAGCTTTGTTTCAACCATTTTGGTGAAATGCAAAATGGATTTGGTCTGTGGATTCACGTCTTGAAGCCTTTGGCATTTTGGCCATTGCCTTCTTGGATTGTTGGAGCCAGAAGTGACCATATTCAGACAAGAGGGTGGAGCTGTGCAGCAGCGAGAAGTGGATGTGACGCACGTGGTCAAATTGAATGTTTAAAATTCCATAATTCTGCATTTCAAAACAGTTCTGAAGTCCATATTAACAAGGTGAAGCCTAAGTGTTTTGATTGAAAATCAAATGGATGCAAAGAAACTGAATTTACGATCTTGACCTTTATATTAATTTAATTCAAATCTGCAATGCACTGCCACAACAGTGTGGCCTTGAAACCACGGCTACATGCCACCCTGAGGTCGTCTCTTAGACCCAGGTCTTTCAAGATGTTGACTGGTCTGCAGTCAGTTTCCACCCATTTAGCACTGTAGTTAACTTCTTCAGTTTAGTTTCATCCCGAGGTCTGTGACAATTTGTTCACTCCAAAATACTGTTTTGCCAACTGTGGCAATGTGGTTGCCAGCTAACATCAGTCTGAGTAGCTGAACCTGTGTGCCCAGCTCATTGGTGGAAACTCAAAGTACTTGGGTGATATTTTGATTCCATTTGACACAAGGTGCAGAATACTTTTGTTTTGTCAACTGAGCCATTTGGGAGTTTTGTAAAGTGAGAGGAGACATTCAAAAGCACAGTGGTGTCGTTACTTTCCATCACTGCAGCAGGAAGCAGGGTGCATCAAAGGACAGATATATAGATGAGGACAGGTTGTGTTTGGGGAGGCATATTCATTTTGTAACACTGATTGGAATTTGGACTGTAAATAAAGTGGGTGTATTACTTATTTTTTTAATTGGGTGGTAAACAGACTGGGAATAATTGTATATTAGTTGCAAATAAATCTTATTTTGGTTTGAAAGCTCTATTTGATACCTTTCCTCAAGCCCAAAGATTAAAAAGTATGTCGTTTAAAAAGTGTTCCACAAATCAGTTCATTTCCTGAATCAGCTAACATTAACACTACTCATAATGAGTCAGCACTTAATTCCCCAGATGATCCACTTTGTTTGAACCAATCAGCATCCAATCAATCAAAGTGCAGGAGGGACCACGAAGAACTGATGATACATTACTGGAAAAAAAAGGGATACCAAAGATAATTTTGTTCAAAACTATGTGGCTGTCAACAAAAAATTAATTGCAGCATGCAAAACGTGCAGGTCGAAAATTACAGACGGAGACGTAGTAAATTCCAGTAAACATGTTTAAATACAAATTTTAAAAAGGCATTCACGATTTTTTGGAAAATGTATATGTAATTTCAACCACTATTAAAATGGCATTACATCTGGATAAGTTAAAGTTTGGTGCTTGGTACGTGTCAGGCTTGATTTGGGACATGACTTTTGACTTTGACTTTGTTACTTGGCCCCATCTCAGGTATTTTTACATTTTAGCTTACCTCACCCCCGGGAGTATATGTGTTACATGACATTCTCTGTCTCAACATTGTGTCAAAGGTCATTCCCTCATCAGCGTCTAAATGCAACAGTATCCTGACTGAATTATATTCACTGAGGAGTGATTTAAGAGACATCAGGTGACACTTACATCCTCTATCACTTACTGTACAGATTTTGTTTGTGAATTTACATCCTAATGAGTGTTTTAATATCTGAATATAGGGCTGTGAGCTGTGAATAGGATAAAGCACTAGCATCACAGGCTGCTGTCAGAGTCATGGCAGTTCTCACATTATTCACTGTCTATGAAGCAGCTCCAGGATCTGTCTCGACATGACAAATCCTCTCTGCTGTTCAGCTGAAGGAGACACCGGCTAGAATTCACAACTTAAACCTGCTCTGTGCAATGTTACAGGGAATTTAAATGCAAATTTCCCTTTTTAAGTGGATTAGTTTCTCTCTCCTCCTCACCCGTAAATCCTTCTGACAGTCTCCCACAGCGGGCAAAGTTCACAGAGAGGTAAACAGCAACTGAGCACAAGTTTAGAGAACAGAGCAATCATTTACTGTTCAGACAAAGAGGGCAAGCGGTCAAAGTCTGACACCAGGAACAGTCTGATCCACAGCCAGAAACAAGCTATGTAAAACCTCATCAGTATTTGATGGTGTCAGCTCAGTCCTCTGTAGGCTTTGTAGCACCAACTAATGTTATAATTCCTGAAAATGTCTTTGCACCCGGATCATTCTATAAATGGGGGTACATTTCATGTCCATTGTCCATTTTTTAACTATGCTCCTAAAAATATATATTTCACCAATTAAGAGAAAGCATAACATAAAAAAGACAAACATTTTGGACACGCTATGTTTCATTCAACTTAAAACTGTCAGGATGTTTCTAAACTAACATTCTTTACAGTGTCCATTTTTATTAGTTGAGTGAGTCTTGGCCTCAAAATAGTGATAAAAACCATTAAAGTCAGTGTTTAAAAATTCTAAAAATTCAAACTAGGGCTGCCAAATAACTCGCCTTCATTTCAATTTATTAAATCACAGAAAAAATAGACTCACAAGTCAGTCTTTAGACACTTTGCTTAACTAAAGACTGATGTCTTTCTCCCTGATTTTGTGTTTAGATGGGCGGATACAATTTCAGAGTTTAAAAAAACTCCCTACATTGCAGAACCAATAGTACATCTGCAGGGCGGTCCTTCGGTGGCTCACTGAACTCTTGTGCTTGTAAACATAGTCCAACTGCGTTAAAAGTTTTAAACAAAGTGGCTGTAAGTCCTTCATTTCCACAATCTTGTGGACTGAGCACACGTTTGATAAAATGGAGTTAAATCTCTCTGCATCCATTTTTAAGCTCTCTGTGTGTTTGTTTCCTTGCGGACGAGAAAAGGGGGAGCGCACATTTCCGGGAGGGCGTGTCCTTTTCAAAAATGCAAGAGGCGTTGCTTTGTTGCCGGCCGTTTTCTCCGGTGTGTTAAACACACTTTAGAAAGGAGTGTCCCCAGACTATCAGAAGGCGGAGATCTCTGATTGTCTGGTGGCGAGACTACAGAAAAAAGAACCCGTTAAAAAAAAAAAAAAAAACGTTAATTAATTGCATTCCGTGGTGCACTTTGACCCAGTGCGTCACTGAAGGCCACAGTGGCTTTGTCGCTTGATGGAGGCAGACAAGACGACGCTGCTCGGCCTCGTGAATGGAACATTTACATTTAAAAAACGCCAAGATGGAACTGTTGATAGGAGTTTCTGCAGTAAGGAATTTTCGCTCCGTTTCTTCGACCAACAGGGCTCTCATTTCAGGGCTCATTTATGCTCAACGTTAAATACGGATCAGGATACGGACGGAGCCTTCTGTCTGTGCTCCGCGTTCATTTCGTCTGTATTTCTGCACGTTTCCATAAAGCTTATGGATACGGGCCAAACGGAGCAGTACCACCGGGAACCATGGGGGCAGTGTTGCTGTCACTACCTGATAAGTAGCTTTCGTGAGACACGAAGAAGAAATAACAATTCAATTTCTCTCATTGGCAGTACTAGAGAAAAGAATTCTCCGTCCTCCAGTCGGATGTATTTAACGGCCTCACCGACCACCGCCTCCTACAACACTGCCTCTGTTTTTGTCTTTTATACAAGAGGTACATTATCAATATCACCTCCACAGTCGCCATGTTTGTTTTTGAGTTTGTTGTTGTCATAAACTTTTGACGCTGGGCTGCCTCCTGGTGGATATATTGGTTAACATCCATGCCAACGTAAAGGGCGCATGGAAGTATGTGGGCAGTGACGGTAACATCGTTTGAAACGGACGTATACATTTTCGTACGTAAAGGGAGCATAAATGAGCCCTCAGAATGAATTTACCAACACACTGTGTCAGGTCACTCACTCACCACGAGTGTTACATGAATAAGTAAACACTGACCAACGGGACCAGACTGGCCGACTCGTATGCTCTCACTCAGTGGATGGATGATGTCACAGGAAGCCAATCTTACAAAGGAGGACGACACTTCAACGATTTCCTCCAGTTTGCTTTGCTATCAAATCTAACGTTAGCTAAACAATTAGCATCACAGAGAAATCAAATATTCCTCTTAATACCTCCCCAGTTTCTGATGGAGAACAGGAAATACTTTTTCCCTAACATGATATGAAGTGTGAGCTGCACATGTGAGCATTTTTGATGATTGCCTCCGTCCAGTCCTTTGGTCTTATCACATTTAACCATAGCTGTCTTTGTTTTTGTTGACGGGCAGTGGCGGCTGGTTTTGAGCCATGACTCCTTCTATTCTGGCTCCCAATAACACAACAAGACCACATTTTAAGACTCCTATCCTACAGCCTTGTGGTGGAGAGGCAGGTTTTGCCACATGATGCTGGCTATAGAAGGGTCTATTGGGATTGACTCCCTCTTGAGGCCAACCCCAAGTGGCCATCAGAGGAACTGCAGTTTTTGGCATTTCTGTGTTGGCTTCATTTTTCACCCCCAGTGGTTGCAGCTTGAGCTGCACCTCATGTACAGCACCTGTTAGCTGGAGAAATCAATCTGCTGTGTGCAACACGCTGTGGCACATCTGCTGGAAATGCCTCAAGGTTGTTTCGGGCAGCTGCGTAACATCTGCCCTTTACTCAGTGCACTTTTCTAGTTGCATTATTGGTCAAGTAATTACATTATTGGATTTTATCACATTTTTGATCAGGTTAAGTGCAAATTTTACACATGTTCAGAACATTATGACATTATTGGTGCTACACAGCCTGTTAATCTCTTCACCCACCTTTAACATGTGCAGGTTTGCCTCTGTTTTGGAGTTCAGCCAGTAAGCGAGGCTTTCAGCTGTCTGACGTGGTGAGACTCCTCAGCCAGAAAACAGCCCAGCTGAGTCGGCTGGACAACCAGAAGGGCAGCCTCGCCCCCGGCTATGATGCTGACATGGTGATATGGGACCCAGAAAGAGAATTTAAAGTTAGTAAAAGTCATATATGACATCAACAAACACCTTAAATCAAGAAAACTGATGTATTGATTTCATTTTTTGTCACACTTCACAGATTAAAGAAGCAAGCATACATCATAAAAACAAGGTAAAGCACGTTAAATGAACAAAAGATGTGATGTAAAGTTTTTTGATATGGCTGAGCTTATGATGATATGTGTGTGTGCAGCTAACGCCTTACCTCGGCATCACACTGAAAGGAGTGGTGTGTGCCACCCTCGTCAGGGGGCGGCTGGTGTTCAGAGAAGGCTCCTTCTGCCCCGAGCCTCTAGGGAAGCATCTCCTCATCTCCTCAGCTGTGAAGCACAACGACAACAAGCTGTGATAAACTTACCTGAGTGTCATGTGAATCTGTAACAGTGCACCATGGTGTTTTCCTCAATTCTCTCGCACTGAACGCTTTTTATTAGATTTCATGATCTTAAAAATTTTTACATCACGGTTTGTTTAAAATATCCTCGATTTCAGAAGTACCTCCAGAAAACAATATAACCTCCTGAGATAAATATTCTGTGAAGATAATTAATAAAATGCATTATAAGCTGATTGCATCTTCACAATATCTAATCAGAACAGCATATGGACCAATGATTATGAGACAATGGGCCCCTCTGCAAAAATATGCATCTCTTTGTAGTTGTAGTGCAGCTTTTTCTTGGTTTGTATCTTTGAGGTAACGTTGTGTCTTTTTGTGGTAGTTTTTGCCCATGTTTCTACTATTTTTGTCCCTGTATGTCTCTCTGTTGTCATTTTGAATCTCTTCCTGGTCTGTACATGTTAATTTGAGTGATATTTTGCAGGTGAAGGTCAGGGGACCCCTCTTACAGTTTGGGCCCCTGGGCCTGGTTAGTAATCCATCCATGCTTATGGACATGCAATCATATAAGTCTTTGTATCTGGAGTCAGATGACAGTCATCATAGATCTAGACACCCTAGAAAATTTAGTCTCAAAGTTTTTAATAATAAACATATTAATTAAATAGTGCTTTCTTTTTGGGGGCCTTTGAGACACCTTCACAACACATTTTTGATTGTCTTTAAATCAGAGTATTTCAGGGTTTTGTCATAGGAAATTGGACTCACTTTCCTTTTTTGTCAAATCACACTTGCCCATATGAGCATCAGTAGTGTTAGACTGGATGCGCAGGGCAGTTCTCAACCCAAACACCAGAAAAAATGTTGGTATTGTATGTTTTTGCAAACCAAATGTACGTTATTATGTAGCAGATACAATGAAACTTTGCATCTCAAAAACTGTGGTTAATGTTCGGTTAGGTTGAGGCACAAAAACAACTTGGTTATGGTTAGGAAAGATCATGTTTTGGCTTAAAATATACAGTTTCAGGGGCACAATATATACATAAATACACTGTCCAAATATTCCCAAGTGAAATCTATAAATCATATAAACTGTACCTAATCAGAACGTACATTAACCTGAGTTATGACGTAGGCAAACAAGAGCGTTGAGTTGTAGCAAACACATCCTGTAATGCTGTGACCAGGGCAAAAGCCTGGCGCTCTAGAGTCTGCAGTCAATGATTAACATATGAGGACATGTTGGGTGACTTCCTTATCTCTGGAAAGACCTCACTGGTCAGACAGAGGGGTGTGCTCAGCTCAGGCTTTACTTGACCTGCTTCCACAGCTGTTTGTGGTTTTACTGCGTTTGTCAATCTGCTGGGAACATGTCGTCCGTCTTCATACCTCCACCAAAATGCCTGCTGAAGTCTATGGTGGTTCCTCATCGTCACATGTTCGGACCAGGACCCTCCAACGTTCCTCCACGGATCTTGGAGGCAGGGGCCAACCCTGTCATTGGACACATGCATCCAGAGATATTTGAGGTAAATCAGTGCAAGATGGAGCCTGACTAGCTACTAGAACTATTTACACATTATGATGGGGGAGTTTGGGAATGATTATAAAGTTTTCACTTTGCATTCCCAATCTTTAATTAGCTGACATATATTTTAAAAAAAAAACAAAAACATTGTACATTTGCAGTGGTTTGCAACATTGTGCACAGAAAAGCAATTAAAGCTGCTGGAAAGTAACATTTACTCGTGCTGTACTTAAGTATGATTTTAAAGGTCCAGTGTGTGAGATTAAGGGGGATTTAGTGGCATCCAGTGGTGAGGTGGGCAGATTGAAACCAGCTAAAACTTCTCCTGGCTAATATTCCTTCAATGTTCATTGTTCAGGAGTTTTTACCGGGAGCCGAGAGAGGTCTCCTCCTCTCCAAAACAAACGGACCAGGTGATTTAAACCAGTAAAAACACAGATTAAAGCAGTTTCACATTTAAAAAAAAGTCAGTGTTTTTCCAACACTTGTCGCAGAGGGGCTGTGAACTACGGTGGCCCACGCTGAGACACCAATGGCTCTGTCCAGAGCCAGTGTTTGATTTGTCTGTTCTGGGCTTCTTTAGCAACATGGCAGACTTCATTAGATATAAACAGCTCATTCTAAAGAAACAAAAACATCCTTCCATTTTTATCTGCTTGTCAGGCCGGGTCGCAGGGGCATCAAGCCAAGCAAAGCATCACAGACGTCCCTCTCCCCAGCAACACTTTCCAGCTCTTCATGGGGGACCCCAAGGCGTTCCCGAGCCAGATGAGATATGTAATCCCTCCAGTGTGTTCTGGGTCTGCCCTGGGGCCTCCTAGTGGGACGTGCCCAGAACACCTCTAACAGGAGGCACCCAGGTGAACCCTGATCAGATGCCCCAACCAACTCAACTGACCCCATTTTGATGCAAAGGAGCAGCATCTCTACTCCAAGCTCCCTCCGGATGTCTCACTTTGGCCATTTCTATCTGCAATCTCATTCTTTCAGTCACTACCCAGAGCTCATGACCAAAGGTGAGGCTTGGGACGTAGCTGGACCAGTTAATCAAAAGCTACGCCTTCCGGCTCAGCTCTCACTTCACCACAATGGTCCGGCACAGCACCAGCATCTCTGCAGACACTGTGCCAAACCGCCAATCCATCTCACGCTCCATTCTACCCTCACTCGTGAGCAAGAGTAACTCTCTCCCAACCCAGAGGGCGCAATCCACCTGTCACCTACACACTGGACCTCTGATGTAATTGTACTTTACTTGACTATTCCATTTTATGCCACTACATAATTCTACTTCATCACATTTCAGAGGGAAATATTGAACTTTTTAATGCACTATAGAGCTTTGATTCTCGGCCTGACCTTACCCACCAGGTTCAGGCCTGGATTTTTATTTTTTAAAATACAGACCATATAGTCTGTGTAATGTCAGGAATAATGTGTGTGCTGTGTACTGCAGGATTTAGGGGCATATATTGTTTTCTTTAGTGTATAATCATTGTGTTTTCTTCACTTTATAATGAGCCGTTTGTATCTACACAGGGAGCGGGTCCTCGTTTATGGAGATCACCATGTTCACCACCATGTTTCTACAGCAGCCCAGAGCAGACAAACCAAACACTGGCTCTAGTTAGGGACATTTGCATTATGCTTTTTTGGTTCGGCCACAAAGACACAATGACAGTGTTGGAAAAATGTGAAACTGTTTTATCCAGTGGTTTTACAGGTTTAGGTCACCTGGTCTGTTTGTTTTGGAGAGGAAGAGACCTCTGTGGATAATTCAGCTCCTGTTAAAAACCTCCTTGGTGGGCCCTCTGCCACATGTTGAACAGAATAGGAAAAGCATTGATTTTCTACTTCTCACTCCGAAGTCATCGAAAGGTGACACTTGGTCAGAGACTTCTGGCGTCAGACTGACGAAAACATGGTTTAAACCACCCTTAAACCACTATCACCTGACACTGAAATGAACAGTTTTAGACTTGAACAGTGACCCGAAAGCCATAGAGTTAAAAAACACTAAACAAATGTGGCACTGTTTGCAACTTTGTTTTTGCACAACAATGTTCAGGCATTGAAAAAAACTGTTTTCTTCATTATTATTCTTAATTACACACCTGCGACCATTAAATAAACCCATTGTCGCCATATGAGGACATCTCATTCCAAAACTACTTTGTTACTGTTCAAAGACAATGTTTAGCTTTTTATATTTAATCCCAGATAGCAAGGAGAACTCAAAAAATTCTACCAAACAAAAGCTCTGGTCTCAATTATCAATTATCAAAAATGTTCCTGATTTATTTTCCCTCATGATCGGACAGATTGAGACCTGTGTTTTGTTCGCTCAGTCTGCCCCTCATTACAGGAAACATGGTGGTATTGCAGAGAAAATATATTTCTATTTAATCTCTTTCAACAGTGTTTGCTCATTTTATGTTACAGATAATGAATGACATCAAAAGTGGAATCCAGTACATATTCCAGACTCAGAACAACATGACTTTAGCGGTGAGCGGCACCGGCCACACTGCCATGGAGTGTGCCATCTTCAACGCAGTGGAGCCTGGGGAGAGCGTACTGATGGCAGTAAACGGCATATGGGGAGAGCGAGCAGCAGATATGGCTGAGAGGATAGGTAAGGCTTGGTGCTCTGTATTTTTCTGTCAACAAGAAATGACATTTTTCTGTTATTTTCATGGGATTTGTTGACTGTAATCAAAATACATCACATTGTCACTCCTCTCCTTTCAAATCAGTAACTGATGGAATAAACATGATTCTGAGGAGATTCACAAACAGAATATCTTGTGTGTTAACCCAACAGGTGCCAGAGTAAACACCATAGTGGCGCCCCCTGGTGGTTTCCTCACTAATGCAGAAATTGAGCAGGTATCACTCTGACTCTCCACTTATCAGGTTACTTAAATGAATTCAGTCAAATTAACCAAACTACACCTTCCCTTTAAGAGAAAATATGTCATCATTTATTTTCTCTTATATCCTTTTTGTTTTTTACTTTAAATAGTATTTTATTTTTATTTATTTACTTACTATGAATAAACATTTTCTTAGATTTTTTTTTTGTATCACGATTAACTTCCATTTTATTTCATTTTTATCTTTGTTTTTTTAATCATTTTTCTTTCAAACAGGTAAAAAGAAAATTAAAATACATAAATAAGATAACTAATAAATTAGCAGTTATCCCAGAGTTACTTCTCAATATAATTCTTATAATTCTTATAAACATAAATAAACATCATTTATTAAACATCAAGTATTTACATGTCCAAAAAAACTTACATTCATTATTTAACTTAGATTTACTATTAATGTATAACAACAATATTATTATTATTATTATTATTATTATTATTATTATTATTATTATTAATATTAATAATAATAATAATAATAATAATAATAATAATAATAATAAATATCAGTAGTAGTAGTAGTAGTGGTAGTAGATTAATTAGATTTATTTTGAAAATGTAAAAAAATCTTTATAAAAATAAAAAACAAATAAAATGAATATATAAATTCTCATAAACATAAATAAACATAATTTAATATCTACATGTCCGTCCCCTTCTCCATTACTTAAACTACAGTATTTACTGAAAACTCACAATTATTAATTATTTGATTTTAAATTTTAGCAGCACACAAGATGTGATTAAAAACAAGTATATAAAAATAAACATGGCAGGGATTGTGCAGAAGTAAGAAACCCAAAGGGGGTTTATGGTGAAAACCTTCCCTCTAAAATCTATTATATTACAAATAATATTTCTCTCCGAAACAAATAAGTATTTTTAGCATTAATATGAGTATTATTATTAGTAGTAGTATGAGTATAAGTATTAGCATTGCTATAAATCTCTCTATCTCTCCATGTGTAGAGGTGTTGCGTATATTTCCTTGTCTGGAAATGGGCATTCAAACTTAGACACTGAACTATTGAATTAAATAAATAAATTCTGTCTGTACCCTGTGTGATCATACTGTTGTGTCATTGCAGGCCTTGTCAAAACACCGGCCAGTGCTGTTCTTCCTCGCACATGGAGAATCTTCTACAGGAGTCCTGCATCCTTTAGATGGCATCGGTCAGCTGTGCCATAAGTAAGACGCAGCGCTCGCTCCTCTGACATCGTCACACCTGTAACAAAAGGAAGGGCAGATAACAGCTGTGTCATGACTTGTGCACGCAGGTATAACTGCTTGTTCCTCGTTGACTCTGTGGCGTCGTTGGGAGGGTCGCCTCTGTACATGGACAAGCAAGGGATAGACATCCTGTACACAGGCTCCCAGAAGGTTCTGAATGCTCCTCCGGGCACAGCGCCCATCTCCTTCAGTGAAAGAGCATGGTGAGAGATCTATATACAAGTGATAATTCAAACTATATGTTACTTGTGTATTTAAAGTTTAATCTGTCATCAGTCAGAAAATATTCAACCGGAGGACAAAGCCTGTGTCATTCTTCTTGGATTTGAGCTGGCTTGCAAACTATTGGGGATGTGATGGCAAGCCGTCGAGAGTGTAAGACATCTTTTGTCACTGCACACAGAAACTGATTAGATTTCAAACTGTGCTCTCATTTTTAGCCGTACTTGTGCAAAGTCTGACAATTGCCTTGTGTCTTCCATTTCCTCACGACAGATATCACCACACAGGTCCAGTCACTGCGTTTTACTCTCTAAGGGAGAGTCTGGCTGTGATCGCTGAAGAGGTAGGACGTGTTTGACGGAAATAGTTTGATCTTGTATCTGTTGGAGCTTTAACAGTTCTGTACCACTGAGCAGGTTACACAGTGACAGAAATACACCATTCTCTGTGCCAAAGACAAAATATCAGAACAAGGCATCAATATGAATTAACCATTAACTAGCTGTTGCTTTGGGACAGAGCCGAAATGCAAGCAAAATGAGTTTTGTTTTTGTTTCAAAGAGTTGCTAGCACAGCTGTAGACATTTAGTATTACCATAGAAACCCTGATTAGCATCCTTAGAACTGATATGTACAATATACACCGATCAGCCAAAACATTCAAACCACTGACAGGTGAAGTGAATAACTTTGATTATTTTGTTCCAATGCATCGTTCTACTGGGAAACCTTTGGTTCTGGCGTTCATGTGGATACCACCTGACATGCTCCACCCACTCAACCACCGTTGCAGACCAAGTACCCCCTTAAGACCTTAAACTTGGACACCTGCCACCCTTATGTCTGTTTAAATGCCTTATTTCAGATCTGGTTTTAACTGAGTGTAAATGCTTTTAACTCTACATCTACACCATGACATGTTTATCATGCTGTATTTCTTCTTTTAGCAATCGTTTATTGGGCACTTGGGCAGTAACTTGCAGTGTCAGAAACCAACAAAAGTCCTTTAACGTCAGCATGATACATGGCTGGTTGCCGTTATAGTTTGATGGGGCCCTGTGGCGTCAGGGGGAAATGCAGCAAGACAACGACAAAAGTCAAGGTGGCTAAAGTCCAGCTGGGGGGGACAGGAGGATGGGTCCAACAAACACTGACTTTCACTGGAGAGAGTGTTGTTTGCACCCCATACGATTCTAAAGCCAAACTGTTCTTTTTTCCTAAACCTAACCACGTGTGTTTGTTGTTGAAGGAAACAACGTGGTGCTTTTATTTTGAAAGAGATTGCATTTAAACATTGAATTTACTGTGAAAACAGAAGTGTATTTTGAAAGAAGACAGTGCATGTAACAGGCAGAACTTGACACGGCGTCCCAGAACGCCAACAACCAACACACCCAGGGTACCTTGCACGTTGTATGTGGACGTAGAAAGTCCATGACCAAATGACCATGAATGAATGAATGAATGTTTACAAAATAGAAAAAAATATATGTTCTGTGTTATTCAAAGGGTCTGGAGAATTCATGGGACAGACATCAAAAAGTGGAGGAGTATTTCCATGCTGGTCTGGAGGGCATGGGACTCAAACTTTTTGTCAAAGACAAAGTGAGTTTCAAGTTTCATCACAACCATTTGTTTCTATTATGACCTGTAGAGGAATATACACAGAATAATGATCATTAGAGCTGCAATGATTCATGGATTCATTGATAAGATGTCAGCTAGGCCTGTTGAATTAGTCGCCAACTAATTTCATATTCGATTAAGTTAAAAATCTCTGATTCCAAATTCGAACATGTGAATATTCACTGATTTCTTTACTGCTGTGACAGAATAACTTTGGGTTGTGGACAAAACACGACAATTTAGGACGTCATCTTGGGCTCTAGGACACACTGCTCAACATTTTACAGAGCAGTGGTTCTCAACCTTTCTTGTGTCAAGGTCTCCTAAATCAAAACACATTAGGTCTCTTTAATAAGATTTCACACAAGATTTTGGTTCTCAGATTTGATTCAGATCAGAATTCAACAGTTGTCAGCTACAGCTTAGCAGATAACCGAGAAGAAAATAAAACCTGTGATCAAAATATTAACTCTAATGACTCTTACTCACACTGGGCTCACTTCTACAGTAAATTCCATTGTGAAAATAAACTCTCTTCCATGTTTGTGGTGACCTCCTGGAACTCCCTCAAGGACTCCTGAGGGTTCCCTGGCCCCTGGTTGAGAATCTAATCTAATTAGCCCTGATGATCATATTACAAATGCGCCATTTTCTGACTTTAATGTAATGATTGTTACAGAAAGCAAGACTCCCGACAGTGACCACTATTGTTGCTCCACATGGATACGACTGGAAAGAGATCACGACCTACATCATGAAAACACACAATCTAGAGATTTCTGGAGGACTCGGACCTTCAGTTGGTTTGGTAAGAGAAAAATCTGTCAAATACTTTGTATAATAGTTTGTGTATATAGACTCTAGGGGTGTGCCATGTCATCTTGTTCATGATAACACAAGTATCATTTTTAATATGATATGACAAATTCATACCGTGATACTCACAGTATTTTGAATTGGTGACATAGTGATGCCATACGGTTACCCACGGCAACAACAAGCATGTCTGAAAGCGAGATTATTACAGACTCCTTGGTGGTTCCGAAAAGAGGAGCAGCTTCAGTTGTGTGGAATAAACTGATCTCCTGAATGTTTTATGAACAGACTCTTTTAGCGAGTTACTGCTCAGACGGAACTCAGTCAGCGGCTCCCCTGGCAGCAGCACAGCGTCTCTCCCTCTCCTCTCTCGCCGTGTCGCCAAGTGATTTTGTCATAAATGTTTGTCAAAAAAGACGATCAAGAACATCATTATAGCAAAAACACGCTGAAATATTGTGATATTACTTTAGGGCCATATCGCCTACACCCTGATGGATGGAGCCTTCCAAGTTAGACAGTTAACTGTAAAACTTTAATTAAAAGTCTAGTCCCAATTTAACGCCCAGTCCCTTTCACTAGCCTGGTGTAGCTACACATTTTAACAAAGGCCTGTCTCAGTTAGAGGCCTGGTCTGGTTGCCAAGCAGTTCATTTTTATAGAAGTTCTTTGGATGTATAAAACCAGGCTAGCTGTTAACTAGGTGTTTAATTCGTGCATTCAAAAACAAAAAAAAACATTTAACCTTTCGTCAGTATGGAGATGCTACACATTGTTAGCCCGGTTAGATTTTCTATAATTCAATTGTTCAGTTCAGTTTACTGAAACCATGAGCACCAAAGAATAATGCGCTCCGATTTACCACAATGGTAAACAAGAGAGACAGAAAAAAAAGGTGAATCAAAAGGGTTTTTCATAAAAATTAATCCAAGTTGTGATCCTTGGGTACTATAACTCACTCTCTGATGTGCTGTCTGTCGGAGCTAGATTAAGTGAATGATTCATAATTGATATATTATTTGAAGCCTCATTTTTAAACAAGTAATATTCATACTGGTTTAAAGAAACAATTTGATTGTATATCCAATCTTTGCTGAGCAACAGCTTTGTGTGAAAGGAATTTAAGGCCTGCCCCAAATATAGGCCTGTCGAGTTCGGTGATTTAAGCAAATAATACTTTTACGGTAAGTCCTGTGTAGCCTAAATTCCAATTTTTCTTGGTCGTTTTAGGTGCTGCGTGTGGGACTGATGGGATGTAACAGCAGCAAGGCCAGTGTTGACATGGTGCTGGCGGCACTGAAAGATGCTCTGAAACACTGCCACAGGAGCAAAGTGTAACATGTTGCTGTTGGATGCTGTCAAGATAACCCTGAATCAACTCTACTGTCATTAGGAAGTAATAAATAAACCCTTATTCTCAGTAGTTGTCTCGTCTGTATGATGCTGTAATGCCTTTTGTCAGCTACAGGTCTGTGTTTTAAGCCTTCATTGATTTTCAGCCCAATAAAAAAGACACATGGGAACTTTGACATGATAGCGTTCGCACTGAGGGTGTGAGTAAGATGTACAGATTGTATAGCACCATGTGGCAAATTTTTGATTTGTTATATTGGGCTATTTAAATAAAACTGACTTGATTATTCCACTCTTAATGGTACATTAGATATATTTCACACATATAGAAAGACCACATTCTGCCTTCTTATACAATAATATTATTTCTTATGATTATTTATTTGAATCTGTTTTATCATGTTCCTGACGTCATCATTCTGGAGTTGCTACGTGCAGAAGTGTGTCTGTGAGTTCCTTTTCTCCTCTACTGTTGATTCAGCTAGTTGAAAACACCTTAATGTTAAGGCAGTATTACCAAATTTAGTTACTTTGGAGTGTAACTTGCATGATAAAAAATGTAATAAGTTTATTCCTATGATCTTGACATCTCAGGTGTTTCATGATTATTACAGAGGGTTACATACACAGGCCCCAGAGTCAGTGACCTTATCTGTTATTGACAGGGCACATTCTAAATTCATCAAGTGGTCTGTTTCCCCAGATGTTAAAGAAACTCATTTTAAGGTCATTCATAAGATTTAGATTTAAAGGTTTAAATTCGAGTCGTCCCTGTACCTTCTGTGGTGAGAATCAAGAACATGCTTTTTTTATTTTTTTTGCCCTGTGTCTCAAAGATTGTGAAAATGGTTATCGCTGAAGATTAATGACATTCACACATTTGATTTCTCTCACATTTTTTTTATATAGATAATCTGACTTAATCTGTCTCCCACATAATAAATATAATTATACTTATGGGTAAATACCATATTTATTGTAGCAAGTGGAGGATTAGTGAGCCCTCCCTAAACTGGTTTATAAAAAACTTTCAATTTTTTCTGTCACTGAATAAAATGAACTCTGGCAGAACTGCAAGGAATTAAGTGTCGACTTTTCTCAGTTCTTGTTTTGCAGTGTGATCCTTGTTTTTGGTTCTTGATATTTTTGCTCCAATTTTGTATGTCTGGTGTTTTAATTTATTTTACTTTACTTTTTTTTTTTTTTACAATTGTTATTTATCTATTTATAAATCTCCCCCAGTTTATTTTATTCATTATATTTAACTAATTTATTAATTTATTTATTCTCTTTTTCCTCATCTTCATCAAGGTTGACTATTTTTTTTCTCCGTATTTTTATATAGGAGGAAATGTTGTATGCTTTTGTATGTTCTACAAATGTTAATTATTATTATTATTATTGTTACTGTTATTATATTATTATTATTATTATTAACAATAATATTATCATTGTTATCATTATTATCATTATTATTATTATTATTATTATTATTATTATTATTATTACTACTACTACTACTACTACTACTACTACGTAAATAGTAAATCTAAGTTAAATGATAAATGTAAATAATAAGGAAAGTTTTTTTGGACATGTAAATATTTAATGATGTTTATTTATGTTGTTTATAAGAGTTATTATATTGACAAGTAAGTTATTTTATTAGTTATTGATCTTATTTATGTATTTAATTTTTTTACCTGTTTGAAAGAAAAATAATTTAAAAAAAACGGCTAAAAATGAAAAAATCCTACAATTTTTTATTCATAGTAAATAAATAAAAATAAATTACTATTTACAGTTTACAGTAAAAAAAGATATGAGAGAAAAATAAATAACATTTTTTTAAACAAAATTATTATTATTATTATTATTATTATTATTATTATTATTATCATTATCATCATCATCATCATCATCATAAGAGTCGCATTTGTTTATTTTCAATAAAGTTGTTTAGAAAAAAAACAACCGGAACAGGAAGTGCGTCAATATACTTCCTTGTTGACAACTTGCTTCATTAAAAAGGCGGGTAAATGGTGACTTGGGTAAAGCTGTGAGCAACCTGCTGTTACCGCTTTGTTTTGGGGTGTAGCTCCAGAGAGCAGCTCGCTGACAGACCGCAGGACAGAGCTGAGGGACAGTCGGCAGTGATGGCGGGTAAAAGAGGAGCTCTCATCGTGCTGGAGGGGGTGGACAGGGCCGGGAAGACGACGCAGTGTAGGCGGCTGGTTCAGGCGCTGCAGCAGAACGGCCGACCCGCAGAGATGATGAGATTCCCCGGTGAGACGTGTTGTTTGTTCATGTACCGTAACGGGGGTTTCTTTACAGCCCCCGCAAAGGTCCTACGTGTGAATATAACTTTAAACATCTGCTATCACCACTGCAATAAACCTACAACACCAACGTCCACTGAACCGATTACTAACTGCTCTTTAACGCGATAATATCGTCGCTGTGTATGTAGGCTGCTGTTTGCACTCTGCGTCATTGCACTAAAGTTCGTGGAAAACCTGGAAAAGCCACGGAATTCAAGTCTAGTTTTCCATGTCTGGAAAAGTCCTATATAATCTGTAAAGTACCAGAAACCTTCGGAAAAGTCATTAAATTTTGTGTAATGAAACGTTACAGTTATGTTCCGTAAATAATCTTCCACGTAACGTTACAGAAATGCAACTTTATTTTTTGTATATGTGACGTGTAATGTCGTTGCGTCAGTGCGTGACGCTGAGGCTGTCATAGGGTGCGACCAGTATGATAATTCAAAAACATGGGATTAAGGCAGTGAGCAATGAAAGAAAAAATGACCAAAAAACAAATGTTTAAAAAATGAATAAATAAAAACAAGGAAATTGACTAAGAAAAAAAATAGAATAAAAAAGTTAAAAACAAACAAACAAGGAAATGACCCGGAAAAAGTGCTTCAAAAGTTATAATAATTCTGTACCACAATTTTAAATACGTAATGATAATAGTTATTAATATAATTTTTCCCCAGTTTTTTAAAATAATTTTCTGAATCCATTTTTTTTTTTTTTTTTTTTTTTTTTTTTGCGCAATTTGTGGGACATTTCTCATTGCAGTTTCTCATTGCATTTCCCCCATGTTTCTGAAAGAAGCCACACCAATGTTCATCACTTACTGACAGAGGATTGTGGGTCAGAATGGCCAGGACAGCACTTTCTGAACAGTACCAATGGCTGGCTCTGTCACTAATTCATAAAACTGAATTTCAAAATATATTTTTCAGTCAAATAAAAGACAGTGATATAAACAATAAAATGAACAGAGCTAAATTAAAACTTTCATTAGAACATGAGTATGTCCTGCAGATAACACGTGACATCAGTGTGTCGCTCTCTGTCCTCTGTCAGCCTTCTCTCATCCAGTGTTGTGTCTATTTCTCTGGTGTCCACTGCAAATCCACAAAATATATACAGTCTATGGGCGAGACACGTGAGAGACGCATCCAGAAGCACAATGTAGCCAATCAGAGGCAGAGTAAGGCGGGTCTCATGATTCGCCCATGTTTGTAACTCCTCTCTACACAACACTGGAACACTGTACAGCACCACCAGTGGCCATCAAAGCTGATTCTGACTCTCCTGTGTGACGTTAATGTGCTGTGGTGTGTTTTCTCGGTGCAGACAGGACCACAACAATTGGACAGCTGATCAGCACCTACCTGGAGAAGAAGAGCGATCTGGAGGACCACACGGTGCACCTGCTGTTCTCTGCAAACCGCTGGGAGCTGGTGTAAGACCCTGGTTTTGTTGAGTTCAAGTTACATTTTACACTCACAGCCGACCCTGTGACGAAGCACAGGTGTGTCGAATAGCCTTAACGATGGCTGCGTTCCACTCAGTGATGGTCCAGGTGTTGTGCTTGCTGGCTCACTGGAATAGCTAACTGCAACCTCTTGCTGTGACAAGGCAAGATGTGAGCTGTGAGAAAAGTCTGGGAAGCCCTTTACTACGCACCAAATGTGTTTTAATCCTTGTCTAAAAATAGTCCTCAATAAAAGCACTATTTACTCGCATAGTTTGAGTCATATTTACTAAAAAACAACAGTGCCCAGCTGTTTAAGGAAATAATTTAGCCTATGCTAGAAATCAAACTTTACATTTGAAACTTTACAGGGTTTATCAACTCAGAGTTCATTTGTTACACTCAGAGTTTGTGAAACCTGTTATCTGAATCAGGCCCTAGCTTTATTCTTTTAAAAATGCACAGAGCTTTTAGTATATTTAGTCCCTTTCCAGTTGCCTGTATTAGCAATGATGCTAACTCTATCAATAAATGCTTCTTTTTTTCTTCTTTTGTCTTTAGCCGTGAGAAGTTCCCTTAAACTGTTCACATAATAGCCGACATGTTCTTCTAATAAATACTTGTGACCACAGGCCTCTAATGAAGAAGAAGCTGGAGCAGGGCACCACTCTGGTCGTAGATAGGTACGCCTTCTCTGGAGTTGCTTTCACCAGTGCAAAGCCGGTGAGTCTTCTGTCAGCCTTTCAAACTCTACATCCATCACACCGAATCATCCTGTGTGTTTGACAGTTTGATGTGTTTGTCTCCTTCAGGGTTTCTCTCTGGACTGGTGCATGAAGCCTGACGTGGGACTGCCCAAGCCGGACCTTGTTATGTTTCTGCAGCTCAGTCCGGCCGAGGCTGCTCTCAGAGGACAGTTTGGAGAAGAGAGATACGAGACCAGTGTTTTCCAAAGAGCGGTTCAACAGAAATTTGAACAGCTGATGAAGGATCCTTTGGTCAACTGGCAGGTATGAGGCGGCTCTGGACTGTACAGCCCAGAGTCCAATATGTGGGGGAGCTGTGTAGAACGTAAACAAAAACAGAATGCAATGATTTATGAGTTATTTTCTACACATTCTGTCCAAATATAAGTTGTGACAGGAGCATGTTTACCACTGTGTGACGTCACCTTTTCTTTTAACAGCACTCAGTAAGTGTTTGGGAACTGAGGACAGTAACTGTTAAAGTTTTTCTAGCTTAGCTCTAGTCCGGGATCAACGTTGTCATGTTTTGTGCTTCATAATGTTCCACACATGTTCAGGGGGAGACAGGTGTGGACTGCAGGCAGGTCAGTCTGGCACCTGGTACACTGTCACTACGAAGCCAAAATAGAACTCGGCAACACCATCTTGGTTAGTCTTGTTAGTCCTGCAGTTAGTTAGTCCACTGTTCCAACAATCACTAACTCTGGTTTGGGCGAAATAAACCTTTAATTCGCTGAGTTAGATTTTCAGAGCTGTTTCTGATTAAACAAAAAGGATCTTACTCTTTAACAGAAAGGTCTGTCTTTGTAGGGATCCTCTCCATAATGTTGTCCGAAACTCAAAATAACAGTCCCTGCTGTTGCCAGCTGTTTACAGTCCTTTATCTCCACAACTTGCAGTCACCTCAGCTGCCTCTTGCACCAGACTGACCTCTAGTGGCACGTGGTGTGCACAACATGCAAAACATCCTCAGTACAGCTTCTCCAGTATAAGGTTGGTGAGCGTCTGTAGATTTGACCGTACTGAAAATCATACAGTCAGGATTTTTAAATACCCTGGTACACTGTGACACCGCCCAAGCCTAGTACCTAAGCCCATGTAGTGACATCCTTTATACAGTCATGTTGGTTTTTATTGCAGTGCTGAAGGATCGAAGGTCAAGGGCAGTTGTGCAGAGATTTCTCCAGATTCTCTGAGTCTTTTGATCATATTATGACTTGTAGATGTGAAATCCACAAATTCTTTTCCATCGTGAGTGGAGGAACATTGTTCTTAAACTGTTGTCTACAGTTTTCCACAAGTGCTGAACCTCACCTCATCCTTGCTTGTGCTTTTGAGTATTCCACAGCTTTCCTAGTTTTTGTTGCTCCTGTCCCATCTGCTTGAAACGTGTTGCAGGCATCAAATTCAGCACCAGTATCAGCTGATACCGATGACCTGCTGGTATGATCGTGCATCCCTAATATTTTGTCTTTGTGCTGTGTTCAGTTGAATAAGACTAATCATAGCATCCTGTTTTTATGTGCGTTCAACACAGCATCCCAACTTTTCTGGACTGTCTTGTTCATTTATCCCCGTGTGTTTATTTAAATCAATAATATGAAACATCTTGTGATCTGCTCTAGGTAATCGATGCTTCTCAGGGTGTTGAGGATGTGCACAAGGACATCATGACACACAGCTTGAATGCGATCAACACAGCTCAAAACCTGGAGCTTGGAGAGCTGTGGAAGTGATCCTGAACCAGTGACCTTGCACCTGCTGGTTTGAGAGTAACAGTCTGCTGGTGCAGCAGCTTAATGACTCTTGTACGTGCTTCTCTGAAGCATCTTTATTAAACTGCGTTTCATATAATTTTATCCTTGAAACTGAAGAGAGATGTACCATCGTCAAATATCAGATTCTGACTTTATTTGTTTTTAATCCTCTTACATGTGTATTGTTCTTTCACCTGTCTATATATTGTGATTAAATAAATAATCTTCAAATGAACTAGTGTATATGTTTCAGACTTGGCAAGGATACTTCGCATGAGCAATTAATGCAACTTGTCTGCAGATTTGACTCGATTTGGTTTCATTACAGGCTGTTACAGACTTGAGTTATTAGTGACAAACCGCGTAAGCCATGGGCATCATGAACCTTCGTGTTTCTATACAACATAAAACTCTTATGGCAATTTTACTTATGGAGTCAGGGAAAGGCACCATATCACTTCAGAATAAACATTTAAAGTGTTAAGACTCAATGGAAACACATGTATGTGAAGATGTGCATACAGAATTTATCCTGAGCTCCTGCTACGGCTTCCACCAGGCAGTCTCAATGTTGGATACAGAGAGCATTCAGAGGCTGTTGAGAAGAACGCTGTGTGACACACACTGACTACACCATTGGAGCTGGACTGGCTCAAGAGGTCTCCAGTTCATGTTCATCCCCTCAGGCTTCCCTTCTGACACAGAGAAGAGACACAGAATATCTCGCCAACTGTCCCGAACGGCAAATCATTGTTCGTATGTTCCTCACAGGGAAAGGATCTCAAACTCTTCATCTTCTGAATCAAAGAACCGTTCCAACCTGTCCGAGTCTGAGAAATCTGCAAAGTGAACGTCGACGCGTAAAAGAAAAATATTAAAATCCATTTTCGTCAACAGAATTTTCTGAATATTTTTGGCAGAAAATATGCAGTTCATTTACCAGGAGTAAGGTTAAGGGCATCCACGCTGACCATGTGGGAGGGCTGACTGTCTACTAGTTCAAACATGGGAAGGCCACCTTTGTTGCAGGACAGCTAGAAGACAAGGACCATCAGTCAATTTATGAGGTACAAATTCCTCCTACAGCAGAGTGATGCTTCACTTAAAGAGAGTTTGGGATTTTTTGAAGTGGGGCTGCATGAGGCTCTTATCCAAAGTCATTGTATTACCTACAGTCAGAAATTAACACCCGCCAAATGTGGGTAGATTTTTTAGCACCCTGAATTATACACACTGCACATTATCCTACAAAATAACACTTACTTTTAAAGCACCTCTCTTATTCAGCCTAGCGAGAAGACTTACTACTTTCATTAATGTTGTAAGCTACTGTCATTACAGTCTGTCCTGCATCTCTCTCTCTCTCTCTCTCACTATATATATGTCTCATTGTGTCATAAGGATTACTGTTAATTTATAATGATGATCTGTTCTGTACGACATCTATTGCACGTCTGTCCATCCTGGAAGAGGGATCCCTCCTCAGTTGCTCTTCCTGAGGTTTCTACCGTTTTTTCCCCCGTTAAAGGGTTTTTTTTGGAGGAGTTTTTCCTTATCCACTGTGAGGGTCCTAAGGACAGAGGGATGTCGTATGCTGTAAAGCCCTGTGAGGCAAATTGTGATTTGAGATATTGGGCTTTATAAATAAAATTGATTGATTGATTGAAGACATTTAGCTGGAGGCTTAGACATACTTTCTGCATTTAACGTCCACGGGCAGCTGCAGTTCATGCAGTTCCATCCATTCGTTCAATGTGGTTTTCTGTTTCCACTGTGAAAAGTTGTGGATGGTACCAATGCAACCGTTCTGTACCGTCCCCATTTCTTGTCCCCCCTCTGTTGGGGTACTTAGCACACAGATCTGGTACTTAAAGGTGGAGCTGTGAACACTGCAGTCTGTTGATTGAATCTACCAATCAACTTAGCCTGCACATCCCTGGTAAGTGTCTCATACAAACCCACTTAAAAAAAAATCCAAACTACCCCTTTAACTGCTACAGTCAAGTCAAGGGAGCAACAAAAGAGCAGTGTCCACAGAAACATACCCTTCTTATGCGCATACACCAGTCATCAAACTCGTCCTCTGTTCTGCAGAAGAAACCCTGGCGGAGACCAGAAAACAATAAGTCACGGAACATCTGAGTTACTGTGCAAAGTTTTCAGCCTGCTCACATTCACGTTTAACAATGAGCCTCAGTCTGAGCTGCGCTATAAAACCCTCACGAGCATTCCTACCGCTGCGATGGATGGGTCCAGTTCACAGATGTGCATGCGGCAGGGAGGGTGCTGACAATGGTACGTCTCATCGGGGACCTGGCCGTCTTCACATGGATCCACTGCAGGCTGAGTGGTGTGCGGATCTAAATAGATGAGCTCCTCTCCTGAAATAAAAAGAGAAACATGTTTAGAATGAGACTGTTCTCTTGGTGTTGGTAGAATTATTATGGTGAGCATGAGTGTGCAGTGCACAGCTGAGTGTTTATTTCACAAACACAGAGACTAGACATACCGACATAACCAATGAAGTAATGGGCACTGTTGGGTTTTCCCCCAATAACACCCAGGGACTGAGGCAGCATGAAGCATTGCTGTGAAAAGAGACAAGAGGGTTTATCTCACCCCAGCTGCACCTGACTTTGCCTCAGTGCTAATTTAACAACCTGTTTTCAGAAATCTTTCAGCCGATTTAGCACAAACAGAAAAATGACATTTTGCAAAGCGTACCATTTGTTTGGGGTTTTTTTTAGGGTTCCCTCAAAATCCTTGAAAGTTTTTGTATTTGAGGGGGGGAATCAAGGCCTTGAAAGTTTTAGAAAACAGACATGGGTCAGTGAAAGTGCTTCAATTCATGAATTTTCTGCAAGAGTAGAAACTGAAGTTCATTCGCTATTTTTTTCTCAGCTGTCTGCATGCGAGTCTCCCACGGTTGTGTCACTGTTTCACGCGGGATCCGCCTCGAGAAGGTGCGACAGTCACAGGCGGGCAAGAGTGACCGAAGTCAAATGATGCAGGTTAACCAGAGAAAGAAATCTAACGTTATGCAAACCTTCAGCTATGCCCGGAAAATATAATTCCAGAATGTGTGGCGGAAGCGGGCTGCCAGACCTCAAGGCTCGATAATTGGCTGCCAGCACCACTGAGAGTATGTTAGCAAGCTAGCTCCCCGCTGCTCGGAAACTGCAGAGCTGGAAAGTTTGCTGATCGGGCAGGGATGAGACTGCTTCTAGCTAGCGAGCCCATTTATGGACGTATTCCGTGGTACCTCAAATTCACTCCCCCCAGATAGTTTGCTGATCCTGCAGGGAGTCAGGGGGGCAGGCCTGTCACTGAAGGTCCGTCTCTGTGAGATACGACAGCTACATTAGCTTGGGAACAGTGATCTGGGTAGTTAAAAGGAAACTTTTCCGATTTTCAACCAGCTCTGTGTTAACGCAGTGTTCGTAAAGACACATGAACAATGGGGAGGCATATACATGTAAACAAACACAGATACATAAAGGAAGGAAAGGGACATCAAAACCCAATGTCCTGTGGCAGCTCAGTGGATAGGGTGGGTGTCCCATGTACAAAGGCAATGTCCTTGCTGCCTCTGCCGCAGGTTTGATTCCAGCCTTTGCTGCATGTCATCCCCTCTTTCTCACGCTTAATCTGTCCTGTGAAATAAAGGCAAAAGCCATCTCGGTGGTATTTAAAGCCGCTGATTAACTCTCGCCATTTCGTTTCACATGGCACCCAGTGTGCAGAAGCGAGCACTACTTGTAGCAATAGGCTGGCAGCCAATCATCGGGCCTTGGCGTCTGGCAGCCTGCTTTCGTTGGGCGTACGTGGTCGTGGTTTCAGCCAAAGTGGTCTGGAAAAACAATAAAATGCTCCCAGGACCCATGGCTCACCAAAACCATTCATTAAGACTGGCTTGTTAAACATCCTCTGGCCATGTCTCAGTGCAGAGCCCGTAGCAAATCAATAAAGTCCACGCTGTTGGTGAAGCAGCTTTGATGGGCCATGCTGCTGGAGCATCACACAGGACAGCACTCCGCGAGTTAAAAGTGTTTAATCTTGATCTGTGTCTCGAATAAAGCTGTTTAAAGTTCTTGAAACAGCCTTGAAAAGTCTGTGAATCTGATATTTAAGAGGGTGTGGGAACAATGCTTTAGATTACTAGTGGAAGTTTAGCTCCTTAAAGGACTTGAATTGGTAAATCTACAGCAATCATACCAGAAAGCCACCCCAAAAAAAACAGGTAACTTGTTTATTTCAGTGTCTCTGTTTTGAAATGTAGGCTACAAATATCTCCTTACAGCATGAGCACCTTTAAACCAGCATATGTCTTGAGGTGCATTTCACATGTTCACCTGTTGAGAATCAGATAAAGCAACATCAAGATTCTGTTCCCTGCATATTCACACACCAACCACAGTAGTTGCAGAGGTTTGCAGCGATGTGTGAGAACCTAATACTGGCGCAAAAAGTATGCAAAGAAGTTTGTAACTTCCTTAAGATTGGTAATCCATCACAGATAAGAATTGTAATATGTTTTTGACCAGTTATACATGTTGGTCTACAGGTTAATTTTGCTGCTCATCAGTACAGCTGTAGTAACGTTACTCTCACTATGCTGCACCACAACAGAAATAATAAGGTAGTCATGTTACACTGTTAGTTGCGGTCGCTCTGCATTGAACACCACCAGGTTGTTGGGGGGGGGGGTGTTAGCTAGTGACGTCGCTGCTCATTTGGCGATTACTGCTACTGACGGCACCCAAACCCATTGTGGCGTTGCTGGGAGAACACTGTGCCCACCCTCAGTCCACCCGAGGTTGCCCCGACAAGTAAGCAGCCTCATTTTATCACTGTTAGCAGCATCAGCACGGCTAGTTGTGCTAACATTGTTAACAATGCAAAAGGGATTTTACAGCTCAAAATTAAGCTGCTTTTTAATGGGTGTCTATAACTAGGACCTTATTTATTTTTATAGACTCTAGTGTAATTCATATATAGCCTAACATTAGCTAACATTAAAATATCAAGCAGGAAATTCAGTTGTCTCATTCAGTCAATCAAATTTTAAATGACAACCCACTCAATAAACCTCACAGAAAACCTCTTAGATTCAGGACATAATTGTTTTAACACACACAATGTGGGAATACAAACGCTCAAGTGCTTCACCTTGAGGGTTTCAATGTAGGCCTCATTTATATCACTCAGGCCCAGCCTGAGGGGGATGAGCAGGAC